GCCTGGAATGCCCTTCCCTTTCCTCTTCTTAACCCTGGCCAATTTGGCTCTTGCTTCAGCTGAAGTGGCTTGGAGTCTGGGTCCTCTGGATGGGGTGCTGTTCCTGCCCCTCCTTGGTGCTCCATGTGCTTCGCCTGTATCCCCCATCAAGGTGCATGGTCAGGCTGCGTACTGGTTTGTTTCTCTGCTGGTGGCCTGGTCAGGGCTGGATAGGTGGCTCTAGTACCAAGCATGGCGCTCAGCCAGGAACGCACCAGCCCCCGGCCCCGCCCAGCCCCACCTCCTCTTTCTGCACCCTCAGGAGCTGGACATGAGTGACTTTGAGCAGCAGTTCAAGACGAAGTCCCAAGGCCCCAATGTAGACCTTAGCGCCCTCAAGAGTAAGGCATCCCAGAAGGCCCCCAGCAAAGCCACGCTCATCGAGGCCAACCGGGCCAAGAACCTGGCCATCACCCTGCGCAAGGGCAACCTGGGGGCAGACCGCATCTGCCAGGCCATCGAGACGTGAGTACCTCTGCCCCAGGCTTAGAGGCAGCGCAGCCCCTCTGCTAGGCCGGGGTTCTTAGGCAGATAGTAAAAGAGCCCCAGCTATGGAACAGAGCCCATCAAGTCTCATACCAATGCTGGTCGGAGAGTAGGGCAGGGAACTGTGTTCCCATTTTCAGGTTAAGAAAACTGAGGTCATACTGTGAGTCCATGCCCGGATGGAGATGTTCCTTTTGCCTTCTTGCCTCCTTACACTGAGGCCCAGGCATTTACTGCTTGGACGCCGCCACTGATGTATGATTGGGACTCCGGGCTTCCTAACTCCCAGCTTCCCTTGACTGTTATCTCTTATTCCCCGAAGCTGTTGGCAATAGCAAATAGTTAAGTTCATTTATTCCATCAAGTAATGGGGTAGGAGTGGTCCTGCTCTCAAGAACTGGTGAGTGTGGAGTGATACTGGCCCCTCCCCTCACAGGTACGACCTACAGACCCTTGGCCTGGACTTCCTGGAGTTGCTCACCCGCTTCCTGCCCACAGAGTATGAACATAGCCTCATTGCCCGTTTCGAGCGGGAGCAGCGACCCATAGAGGAGCTGTCAGAGGAGGACCGTTTCATGCTGCGCTTCAGCCGCATCCCCCGCCTGCCCGAGCGCGTGAACACGCTCACCTTCCTGGGCAACTTCCCAGATACTGCCCAGCTGCTCATGCCGGTGTGCACGGGCTGGCAGGGCGATGCGGCCTGGGCTGGGATTGGGGAGGAGGCAGCTTGCAGCCTGGTCTCCAAGAGGGCATCTGGGAGTACTTGAGCCTCCTATAGGCTTCCCCCCACTCCCGCCCCAACTTACCATGCCTCCCCCATCCCACCCCCAGCAACTGAATGCCATCATTGCAGCCTCAATGTCCATCAAGTCTTCGGACAAACTCCGCCAGATCCTGGAGGTGAGAGCCTAGGGCAAGGGTCTAGGAGGCGGGGCCCACCCATGATGCCTTGCCTGTTCTGGGTTGTGTGAGAGGGAGACCCAGGCCCTGCCCTGAGTCCCTGGGATGCAACAACTATAAGGTTCCCACTTCTAACATCCAGGCTCAGAAGGGCAAAGCTAAGGTGGGGATGGGGGCCGTGTTACAACAGCGTACCTCACACCCTGCCTGAGGGTTCATTAGCAGAGCATCGTGTTGTCGGGCTGTGAGGGAGATGGTGACCCCACAGCCTTGGAGGAGGTGTTGGCAGCACAGTTTTGGGTAAGGATGGCAGGTGACAAAATTGGGTGTGCCATGGTGTTGGCTGTGCACATGTGTCAGACCCGCATATGCATGCGTCATGGACCTGAGGCATCCACGCAGGAGTTCGGTGGGCGCTGAGTGCAGGGCTTGCTCTTTACCACCTTTTCTCCTTGTGCAATTTATACTTCAGGGGGTTTCCTCAGCCCCAGCACCTGGCTGAGCTCCCCCCCGCCACCCCCATCCCGCCTCTTGCAGATCGTCCTGGCTTTCGGCAACTACATGAACAGCAGCAAGCGTGGGGCAGCCTATGGCTTCCGGCTCCAGAGTCTGGATGCGGTGAGGGGGCGGGGCAAGGAGAGGTCCCCTGGCCCGGGGGCTGGGGCATGGCTGGTGGCCTGGGGCTTACAGAAGGTCCTCACTGCAGCTGCTGGAGATGAAGTCGACTGACCGCAAGCAGACGCTGCTGCACTACCTGGTGAAGGTCATTGCTGAGAAGTACCCACAGCTCACGGGTTTCCACGGCGACCTGCACTTTCTGGACAAGGCGGGCTCAGGTATGGGTGGGGGGAGGGGCTCAGCCCCGGGGACGGATACAGGTTGGGAGAAAGCAACGGGACCACAGGAGGTAACTGGATGGGAATGCTGCCTCTCTGCTGCCCCACCTCCCACTCAGTGTCCCTGGACAGCGTGCTGGCCGACGTGCGCTCCCTGCAGCGAGGCCTGGAGTTGACCCAGCGGGAGTTTGTGCGGCAGGATGACTGCGCAGTGCTCAAGGAGTTCCTGAGGGCCAACTCGCCCATCATGGATAAGCTGCTGGCAGACAGCAAGACGGCTCAGGTGGGCTGGGTCTGACCCGGCCCGGGAGGTGGGGAAGCTGGGGTGGGGGGTGAAGGACTACCTAGGTGGGGTTGTGTAGCCAAGGCCTGGAGCGCTATGACCACAGCAGGGACGCCTTGGGGGGATGGGGCAGGAGGGAGCAGCCACCTGCCTGGAGGAGGAGAGATGAAGTGGCCAGTGTCTTAAGGGGGTACAGAGCAGTGGTCAGGCTCCGAGGGGTCTGTGCTGGTGGGGTTGACAGGCTGTGCCCGCAGGAAGCCTACGAGTCTGTGGTGGAGTACTTCGGAGAGAACCCCAAGACCACGTCCCCATCCATGTTCTTTTCCCTCTTCAGTCGCTTCATCAAAGCCTATAAGGTATGTGTGTTTGGTGGGTAGGCTGGGACCCCTGCAGGGCATTGCAGCCTCTCCACCTGGGCAGTGGGAGTGGTAGGGGTTATTTCTGCTGGGGGGCGGAATAGAGAAGGGAGGACTCCCCTTACGCAGACCTGCCTTGGCCCCTCAGAAAGCCGAGCAGGAGGTGGAACAGTGGAAGAAAGCAGCAGCTGCCCAGGAGGCAGGCACCGACACCCCGGGGAAAGGGGAGCCCCCAGCACCCAAGGTAGGCAGCTGCCCCTGAGCTTGGTACTAGGATCCAATGATGCTTGGTATCCTCACCCCAAAGATCTGGCCCTCCTGCACGCCCTTATTTTTATGGACTGACCCTGCCCAAGGCCAGGATGCCCCAGTAGCCTGGGGTGGAAATGGGTTCCTTTTCCTCAAGCCAGCTCCTCTTACCATGGGGGAGCAGGCAGATGGTCTAGGGTTTAGTGGCACAGGGGGGGGAAGGGGATCCTGGAGTTGGAGCGATATACCCTCGCCCTCCTCCCCAGTCCCCACCCAAGATCCGGCGGCAACAGATGGACCTCATCTCTGAGCTGAAACGGAAGCAGCAGAAGGAGCCACTCATCTATGAGAGTGACCGTGATGGGGCCATTGAAGATATCATCACAGGTGAGGACTTGGTGGGGCCTGTCCCGTCCTTGGTCTGTCCTATGCTGTCCTCCATCTGCCGCCCAACCCTGGGGGTCTGGCTGCCTCACTGCCTCTTTGCTACTTTTCTTTTTTTCCTTTTCCCTTTCTCTCCCCTCCTCCCTTCCAACCCTCAGTGCTCAAGACGGTGCCCTTCACTGCTCGCACCGGCAAGAGGACGTCCAGGCTCCTCTGTGAGGCCAGCCTGGGAGAGGAGATCCCCCTCTAGCCCCCAGGTACCCAGCGGCCTGGCCTCTGATCCCAGTGGCTGCCCACAGCCCTGGGGGCCCTTGGGGGGACTGAGTCCTGCTGCCCTCCCCTGGACCATGCATAGCTGGGCTGTGTTGGAGGGAGGTCTGATAAACAAACAGGCTCCCTCCCACGTGCACACAACCTGTGTCCCTAGAGGGCTGAGGCCTGTGCCCTGGAGTGGTGTCCCAACCCTGGGCAGACTCCTGAAAAGGTAAATGTCTCTCCTCTCTGCCTCCAGATCTGCGGAACCAGCCCTACATCCGCACAGACACAGGCCGTCGCAGCGCTCGTCGGCGCCCCCCCGGACCCCCCCTTCAGGTCACCTCCGACCTCTCCCTGTAGCCACTATTTCTGCAGATGGACCGGGAGGCTGGGAGGGGGGGCAGGGAGGGTGGCAAGCCAGGACTCAAGGAAGGTGGTCCTCAGCTCTGCTGGGCGGGGCGGTCTCCTCCGCCGAGGTCCACACCATGCGCCCACCTCAGATAGGCGGGTGCACCCTCATCTGGCCACTGGGGGCAGCATCTCTGGCCCCTCCCCCCAAATGCTGCTTGCAGCACCCCTCTTCCCCCAAGAGTCGTACTTAGCCTCAGCCAGAGCCTGGCCTGTAACTTATAAAGTGCAACCTCGCGCCCCCTCCACCCCCCCCACCCCGCCCCAACTCCGGGGACTCCCCGTGGACCTTATTTTTATACAAGATTAATAAAGACGTTTGCAAAAGATCCGCGTCCGCTCCGTGCCCGCCCCCACCAAGCGCAACGTGTTTTCGCTCAGCAAACGCTTTACTTGCACAAGTTCTTCATAGCAGGTCTCTGCAAACAGGCTGGAGAGGGGGAGAAGGGCTGCTTCTGCACTAGAGTTGGGGGGGAGGGAGCCAGCTTCGAAGGGCGCGTATACCCTAGCGTCTGGCCCACGAACCCTGAGGAAGCGCGGAGGGGGCGTGCAGAGGGTCAAGCCTGCTGCTCGGGTTAGAGACGCAGGGTTAGCTCCACCTCAGTCCACCTTTCTGCCGGCCCCGCCCCATTTCCGTCAGTCCCGCCTCCTACCTGGGTCCCCGGCCTCGTTTTCTTATGCCCCGCCGTATCCTTAGTCGCGCCCTTGAGTGATTTATTGCATCTCCGCCAGTCAGGGCCCAATTTCTTGGAGTTCTTCCACTCTTCGCCTGCCCCGCCCCTCCCCGTCTGTCTGCCCCGCCCCTCACATGGCCCGCCCCTTATCTGCAGGAACCGGCCCCGCCCGCTGGCCCTGCCTCTTTCGACTTTCACCTTGGCTGAGCCGCCCACGGTTGGGCCGGCGCTTGGGTTGGCTGGGCTGGTAGGACTTGGGAAGTCGGACGTCTGGGCGCGGGGTTCGGTTCCGCGTGTGGAATTCTGACTGCGTCCGCCCGTTCAGGTTAGGTATCTGGGAGTAGGCGCTGCGCGCACCTGGGGCGAGGAAGCCGGTAGGAGGAAAAGGAGCGGCCAGTTCTGAGGGCGGGTCCCGAGAGAGAGTCCCCAGTCTCGCAGGTCCCCGCCCAGCCCGGGCGCACCCGCTTTGTGCAGTCCGTGCAGCGAGCACGCCAGCTCGGCACTGGAAAGGCCGCTAAGGTGCGCGGCCTGGCAGAAGATCGCGAGGCCCGCCTGAGAGCGCGAGGTGCGGCCGTGGCCGCCGGACCCGCCCTTCCAGTTCGAGTTCTGACGCAGAGACCGCTGCTTCTTGGAGTAGGGGCTTGAAGGAGGAAAGTGGGTAGCCACCTCAGACAGCGCCTCCCCCAGTCCTCTCCATCTCACCGGTGGGGAAACCAAAGCAGGACAGAAAGCCACTTTGGTCTGGGGGCAAGTTGGGGCCCAGGAAACTGACCCAGAATTCAGGGCTCCCGTCTCTGGGCCAGGGACATCTGGGGACTCCTGCAGGGGCAGAGCCTGCTCCCCCCATCTTGGGCCCTGAAGCTGGGTCCAGCTGTGCCCACCTCATCACCTCCTGTACCGGCTTGAAGGGTACAAAGCCCAGACTCATCAGCTTGAACAGCATCTCTAAGAAGAGCGCTTGCAAGCCCTGGGGATCACAGACCCGGCTGTTCCTCACCTTGCCTAGGGCCAGAGAACATGGGGACAGGTAAGCAAGAGGCTCCCCCTGGCCAGGTCCACTCCTGCCCCACCAGCCTTGCCCCTCACCCAAGCACTGAGCGAGTCGGTGGCTGTCAGTGAGGACAGCCAGGAAGTCTTTGAAGCTTACGGTTCCATCACCTGGGAAGAGAGGACGGGGTGCTGTAGGTGCCTACCCCGCCAAAGCCCTACTCTGCATACGCGTTAGGGGCTTGCCAGCAGTTCGAGGCATAGAGCATCCAGTCCTGCCTCTGGCCAAGCGTTGTCCCAGGTTGAGTGGGGGAGAAATAGCCCTTGCCCTTGGGAGCCCCAAGTCAGGATGATTATCACAACAGGAATGTTTAGGGGATCCGGGATAGGCATGTTGATCAGGGCAGACTTCCTGGAAGAGGGAACTTTAGAATAGGACCAGGCCCAGGATTTTGTGGGCAAGGGAGGTGTTCTTCAGGGCTAGAGGTGGGAGAGGACAGGAGGGCAGGGACAGGGTCACCCACCATCCAAGTCTGCCTGCCGTAGAACCTCACACATCTCCTGCGGGTTTAGCTGGACACCCACATGGCACTGGGCAGCTTTCTGCTGCGCGTGTCCATGGTGCCTGTCGGGCTGGAGCTGAACAGTTTGAAGACATCCTGGAATGCTGAGGGTGGGGAGGCGGGCAGGTGGGCAAGGTGAACCACAGGCACAGGAACCCTGAGATTCACCCACTCTAGCTCAGATGGGACTGAGGACTTGGGTTCACCAACCCCCTGTGCATTGTAACTTAATGGAGAACAGTGGCTGCTGTGTGTTGGCACTTGTTAAATGTCCATTCAATTCTCATGTCCAAAAATTGAACTCAGGGCCCAGGTTCGATCCCTGGTCAGGGAACTAGATCCTGCATGCTGCAGCTAAAGATCCCGCATGCTGCAATGAAGATTCCCGTACGTGGCAACGAAGATCCCGCGTGCCGCCACTAAGACCCGGTGCAGCCAAATAAATAAATAAATATTTTAAAAACAACGACAACATGCTCGCTTCGGCAGCACATATACTAAAATTGGAATGATACAGAGAAGATTAGCATGGCCCCTGTGCAAGGATGACACGCAAATTCATGAAGCGTTCCATATTTTTTATATGTACATAGAGCTGATTCACTTTGTTGTACAGCAGAAACTAACACAACATTGTAAAGCAATTATACTCCAATAAAGATGTTAAAAAAATAAATAGATAAAATATATGTAACATAAAAAACATGTAATGACCATTCTCAGTTCACAGGCAGTACAAAAAGAGGTCAAATGCTGGACCTGGTCCAAGACTTGTAGCTTGCTAACCCCTATGTTACTGTATATCTGTTGCAATTCTAAGGATCTATAAATATTAAATCATTCTAGTGATCCTATGAAAAAAAAAACCCAAACAACAACAACAAAAACAAACAACAAAATAACTCATGCCCAAGGCCACACCACCAGTAGGGGCACTGCTGGGCTTTGGACTCGGGCAGTCTGGCTCTGGAGCTACGATGCCGAGAGGCTCCAGGAGCGCTGCTGGCACCTGGCCTGTAGTAGGCACTGCAAATTATTATTATTATTATTTTAACATCTTTATTGGGGTATAATTGCTTTACAATGGTGTGTTAGTTTCTGCTTTATAACAAAGTGAATCAGTTATACATATACATATGTTCCCATATCTCTTCCCTCTTGCGTCTCCCTCCCTCCCACCCTCCCTATCCCACCCCTCCAGGTGGTCACAAAGCACCGAACCGATATCCCTGTGCTATGCAGCTGCTTCCCACTAGCTATCTACCTTATGTTTGTTAGTGTGTATATGTCCATGCCTCTCTCTCGCCCTGTCACAGCTCACCCTTCCCCCTCCCCATATCCTCAAGTCCGTTCTCCAGTAGGTCTATGTCTTTATTCCTGTCTTACCCCTAGGTTCTTCATGACATTTTTTTTTCTTAAATTCCATATATATGTGTTAGCATACGGTATTTGTCTTTCTCTTTCTGACTTACTTCACTCTGTATGACAGACTCTAGGTCTACAATGGAATATTACTCAGCCATAAAAAGAAACGAAATTGAGCTATTTGTAATGAGGTGGATGGACCTAGAGGCACTGCAAATTATTGATGATGAATAGAATGATTCTGCTTTGAGGGGCCCCTGCCAGTATCAGGGCATGATCTTTGCAGGGACATTGGGTCCCCCAAATGTAGAAATGATTCCTTCTACCCCTACTCCCACAGCTGCAAACCCCAGCAGGGCAGGGACCTCAGATTCTTGTTTTCCATCCTTTCTCCCAGTTTCCCTTCTTCCTTTCATCCTGTTTGTCCATCCACCATCCATCCATCCACCATCCAAATACCTTGCTATCCACCAATCCCATCCCTCCTTCCCTCCTTCACACACACACACACACACACACACACACACACACACACACACACAGCAACAAGTCCTGGGATTGCAGAGATGAGCAAATTAGGCTGGCATGGAGAGGTTACAATACAATCACTGGTTTCTCACTGTGTCCCCAGCCTCTGGGCAGGCAACTCCATTGTATTCTCCTCTGAGCACCCCCTAGTTTTCCTCCCTGCTCCCAGCCCTGAGGCCCTCACCTGCCAGCTGCCCGGGTGTCAGGGGCAGCAGGTTCTTGTCTGCAAAGCCGCCTAGTGGGAAGGAGACTGGAAAGGCTTTTGTACCTGCTGCAGAGAGATGCCAGGGCCAGGCAGGCCTTTCCCCAAACCCAGCACCCCAGGCCTGGCCTCAGTCCCTGCTCTCACTTCTCAGACCCAGCGCTTGGGCCTGTCTGTATTGTACGGGTGGCCGCAAGGCCCTTGAACTCCGTTGCCCCCTGGGAGGGCTGCTCAGCCCGTGGCTGTGGCCGCTGCTGCTTCTGTCTGGGTCAGCAGGGTACGCGTTGCTGCAGCCTCCTCCCCTGCGTCCTCCCGGCCTGCTCCTCTCCTGGGTCTCACGTGAGCAGTCTTTGAGGCTTCTGTGGAGGCCTTGGAGGCGGGGAGAAGACAGGGCCGAAGGGCCCAGCCCACTTGAGTGCCAGACTCCAGGGGACCTGAGACCAGACCTGTGGGTGCACAGCTTCCCCTCCCAGGACCCGCGCCGCCCCCGCCAGCCTGCAGCCACAGTCCTCTCCCTGGGGGATTCCGGGGGCAGTAGCTTGGAGGAGTGGCGGACCTTCCCCCTGCCCTCGTCACCTGGACGTTCTCTTTGCCGATGGTGATATCTTGGTCTTCCGTCCCCTGCTGCGTGAAGGGCAGTCACGGGCTCGGAGGCCGGTCCAGTGTCCCAGGTCCACAGTCCCCAAGCTGGCTTCCGGGTGGATCTTAACTTTTGGCAGGGGGGCCCTTCTCCCTCACCACTGGCCTGCGCCTCTCTGCTGGGGAACCTGCAGTTTTTGTCTTTTATGTTTCTGCCTCCCTTAAGGCATGTAAATTTGTGACTCCACTTGGAAGCTAACAGGATGGCTGAGGCCCAGGGGAGAAGCAGGCCCCAGAGGCCCCAAGTCAAGGCGTGGGAGGGTGGGATCTAGCCAAGTTGGGGCTGTGGCCCACCTTACCCCAGGACCCCCGGGAGGGCAGGAGCCCTTCCTCCAAACGATGCAAACCCACAAACCACATTAACAAAATACTTTGGGAAGATGCATCCCAACAGCCAGACACTCACCTCTGGGTCTCTTCATCCTTCCTTCCAGCCTCCTGCCCCCTTCTCTGGCCCTGGCCCATTCTTAACTGCTCACCCCTTCCTAATCCCATTCTCCCAGGCCCTGGGCACCTCCCTCCTCAGCCCCGTCTCAAGGTGGGGCAGGATTCTGAGGATCTGCAAGGTGGAGGTTTCACTGCATCGGGAGCCTTGGCCCAGAGTAGGTCTCAGGGCTCACCAGGTCCCAAGCCTCGATGCTGCCTCCCCTTCTCTTCCCCCCCAACTTCCCTCTTCCTGCCCATGTCCATCCCCACACTCCAAGTTCTCTTCCCTCCTTTGCTGCCATCTCCTCTTCCAGAAGGTTCTCCACATTGCCTGTCCTCCCCCGCCGTGGGGAGGCTTCTGCGTCTGTGTGCATATGTCTGGGTCACAGGTACTGTGTTTGTGTGTGCCTGTGTGCACGGCACGTGTGGACCATGCTTCCTTGGTCTGCATGTGGCTATGTCATGTGAATATCTGTGTGTGTAACATGCTGGTCAGCTGCTGGGGTGTGTGTGTGTGTGTGTGTGTGTGTGTGTGTCTGGGTTGTGTGCAGAAGTGCATCATTACACATGGGCTCTCCCCTACGCTGGAGGTACCTCAGACTCAAGGCGGTGGCCCCTGGAGGACCAATCCTTTAGCTTCATTCTTGCCCTCCTTCAAGCCCTGGACACCACCCCTTTCCCATGCCAGGCCTTCCCCATGGAGAGAAGCAGGAAGAACTCCTTCCAGAAGCCTTCTCACCTGCCCAGCCCCACCCCCAGCAGGCTCTCGCCTCAGGCGATCCCAACGTGCCCCCTTTTACATCTAAGAAACAGAAGCCTCAGAAAGGGCACCACTGAGGCCTCCCCTAGTCACGAGTCTGTTGCTGGCTGGGAGGTCCGGCTGGGTGCAGGGGAAGTGGGACCACCCATGGGGAGTGAGCAGGCACAAAACAGGGCTGGCAGAGTCCTCAGGGGGCAGGGGCTGCTGGGGTAGCTACAGTGGGGGTGGCATCCCTAAAAAAATCGAGATCAGGATGCTGCAGCCAGAGGAGTTCACTGGTCCAGGAGCATCTGCACAAAATGTCTGAGCCGGGGGCCAGCACTGTAGGCTTTACTGGTTTTGTCTAGTCTTCTCTGGGGAAGTGGGGGACGACAGCTTAAAATGGATTTTCAGCAATAATGGACCCCCTCCCGAACTGCAACGCAAGAGAGAGAGAGAGAGTGTCACTTGGGCCTTGGTGGGAAGGTCAAAAGAGAGGGGTGAGCCCAGAGGCCTCTCCGAGGAAGGCCCTGGGGCTAAGAAGGCCTCTTCCTGCCACGCGGGTGGGCGGCTGGTGATCTGTTGTGGTCATTCAACACCAGGAAGCACGGGGTGCTGGGGAACCCCAGTTCCTCATTCCTGGCTTGATGGAGGTGTCCTGGGCCCAGAGCTGGAGCCATCGGGTTCTCAATAGGGAAGATACTAGCCTGAGCATTTCCAGTGAGGGTGAGGCTGTCTGTGCTCTGGGTGAGAAGCCTCCTAACGCTAGGACGACATTCTAGTTCCCTCTTTGAACCCAGGTCCTTGTCCCTGCCCTGGAGCAGGTTGAGGTCTTGAGGTTGAGACATCACAGCCCACCCATCCCCCAGCCAGTCCCTCATTCCACTGTCCCCACCCCCACCTGGCTGTGTGAGGAATGGGGCCACCTGCACATCATAACACGGCCCCCTCCTGGGGGAGCTTTGGGCCAGCCTCACTTACTCTTTCCCAGCTCCTTGCGGCTGAGGGGACATGTTTGGGGGCTGGAGAAACTTCACCTCCCCTTCAATGGTGGCCCTCTTGAACCCTGGCTTGCTGAAATCAAGGTAAGTGTGAGGGAAGTGCTTGTCTTCCTGCTTTGAAGCATCCTGCGGCTCCCTGGTTTCTAGTGGTTCCTCTGGTGGCTTCTCTAGCGCATCCTGAGTGAGGTTTTCCTGCTCTGGCTCGTCCACAGTGGGCTGGGCAGTGTGATCCACAGTGGGCTCTGTGGAAGGCGTCATGGCTATCTGGAGTGGGGCTTTGATCACATGCCCCAAATTGGGCAAGTCCATCCTGCTGGAGGAGGCCATGGCCAGGGAAGATGCAAAGTTGATCAGCTCTGCCAGGCCGATGGTTTGTGGGGAGGGGGACGGCTGGGGGCTTGGAGGCTGCTGGGAGACTTTGTCTGGAAGAGCTGGCTGGGCACTGGGGGCCTGGCTCTGCTTCTTGGAGCACACAGTGTCCTTGGGGGCCGACGGCTGGTCTGGGTGGCAGGCGGTCTCTTTTGTGCTCTCCTTGATGGGCTGCATGCTGATCGCCTGTTGCAGGCTGTGTTCTGAGGCCTGAACGAACTTGTCTGCCCAGAAGAGGTGTTTGGAGGTCTGCACACAGATGGAGCGGTGGTCGGTGGATAGCGGGTCCTCCTCTGTGGTACTCAGGTAGCTGGAGTTTGACCTCATACTCCATTGGCTGATGTCCTGCTGCATTAGCCCTTCCATGTAGGGGTGGAGTGACTCTGTCTTATACCCCTGCAGCTCAGGGTCTTCACTGAAGGGTTCCAAGTTAACCACCTTCATCTTGGGCTCTGTGTCCAGCTTGGCCTCGGGCTGGAGCATGACAACCGGGCGCATCTCTGGCTGCGGGAAAGGCTTGGGCTTCCGTTCTGGCTCCAGTTCTGGGTCTAGGCACAGGACCTCTTTGTCTGGGGACTCCAGCTCTAGCAATTCTTTCTCCAGCTGAAAGGTTTCAACAGAAAGCTGAGGAGGCGCCTGCCCCCTCAAAGTCCTCCCCGACACCCATTCCCTGCCCTGCCCCCCTCGTGCTTCTTCTCACTTCCTTTCCCACACTTGCCTCTTCCAAGTGACCTGCCTAGGGCAGGGAGGCGGTGTGGGCAGCTGGTGAGGGCGGGTGTGCGTGCTCGTGCCGACACTGGCCTGGCGCCAGGGTCCCAGAATTGTCCAGGGTAGGGGCTGGTCGGGCTTTAGAGAAGACAGGCCCCAAAGAGCCCTGCCCCTGGACTCCCACCTCCCCATAACATGTGATGCTGCCCATTGTTACCTCCATGTCATCTTCCTCTTGTACTGGCTGGAACTGGTTTTGGTTTATGCCACCCCTAAGACAGAAGGAGACAGAGTGGGTTACAGGGCTCCATGGGGTGGCTTCAGGGGACGGTGTCTGGAGCCCTTAAGGCCCCCTGCCTTGTACACGAGCTGGCAAGATGCCCTCAGCTCACTCCCCTGTCTGTGCCCACTCCCACCAAAAATTCCAGACTCATTCTCAAACTTCAGTGAGTTCTGGAAGTGCCCAGAGAGCTGGCCAAGTTGCCCCCTGCCACCCGCAAAAGAGGGATACAGTTGGTTGGAGGTGAGGCCCAGGAATCTTCATTTTAATCCAGCATCCCAGTGAGCCAGTGCCCTTGAAAGCGGCTCCCCACAGAAAGAAAAGCCCAGAGCAATGCCCTCTCTGGGACCTGCCCGCTCTCAGCTTGGAAATGCAGGGGTGTATATGGAGGGTGCCCTTGGTTCCTGTTGGTATTTTGCCATCATCTTGGCCGTCGCCTTCAGTGCTCAGCCACTGTGACCCCTCTCCTTCCTTAGGCAACTGCCCACCCTTCCCTTGGACTGCTGTCCTCAGAGAAAGGCAGCTCTAAGGGGTCAGGTCCCATCCACGTCTTGGGTGTGCCCCACCACCCCTCAGTCCTCCTCCAACGTCAGGGGCTGGGGGCAGAAGCAGAGGAGGATAGGACCCCCACCCCCTGCTGCCTTTTGGCCTGGATACTGCCCTTGGGGAGATTTTGGAAATGGGCAAGATAGAGGGAGATCCTGGGTGGGTACACATGAAAACCTCACAGCCATGGCAGCTGGTGAGGGCTGGTGATCTTGGAGGGTTGGGGAGAGGTCCTACGATGATGGGGGGGACTAGTTCTCACTGTGTATCCACAATGTCCACCGACTCCTTGTCACAGCAGGGAAATCCATTGGCACCTGGCAGGGAGAAGGAGGTGAGGGCAGGGGAGCTGCAGGCGGGGACAGTCCCTGAGGGGTTCTGGAGTCCGGGCTGGAGGTGCTGCTCCAGCCACCCCCTCCCTCCCTGTCCCTCACCTAAGCCCATGTGCCGTCCCCTCGCCCATCCTTGCCAGGGTCACCAGCCCTATCCTCCACGTCTGCTCCCTCCACCTTCCGTGATCCATCACCGTCCTCCATTAGGGCGAATACTAACCGTGGTCACTTCCGTTCATTGAGGGCTTCTAGCCCAGGTATTGTGAGGAGCACTTTATATGCTTCAGCTCATTGAATCAACACAGAAAATGAGAAGAGGTTCATTTGCCGAAAGTCCCTCAGCTGATCATTCAGGAAGTCAGGACCTGAATGCAGATTTCACTCAAGAAACTCTTTACTCCCCTGTCCCGCATGCCATCCTACCCTGGAGCCTACAACTGTGTGGGGTTCCCCATCACACCCCAGATGAACTTCACCTTTCTCCATTCCTGCCCCTCTGCCCCCTTTCTCCACTCTCTCTGGCCAGGCTTCAGATTTGCCATTCACTTTAACCCTGGCCTCTCCTGCCCTGAAATCTGTCCTCTCTTCCCCTGGCTTCTCACACCATCACACCCTGGGGTCATCCATATCCAACTCTGGGCCAGAGTTCTCACCCCAGGTGCTTAATTTGAGGTGATGCTGACACCCGTCTGGTTATTTATGAGCTCCAGTCATCCTCTGCAGGAGAGACTGACTCCTTGGGGGAGCCCCCCCACCCCGCCCCAGTCCCCTTCCTGGAAGCTTAGGAGCCACCAGGCTGTCCCATTCTCTGCTCCCCAGCGTACTGGATAGAAGTTGTTGGTGGGGCCATCATGGCAATGGGCAAGCTGAGTCTCTACGAGCCTGGAGTGTGGCAGGAAGTGACAGCCTTGGCTCTGGCTGAGAAGAATTGCTCCCAGGATTAGACCAGAAGGATTAGAATGTGCTGTGGCCTCTCCCTAGAGATGTAGAGGCTGGAGAGTGTCCTTGAATGGCTGGTGTTGCTCCTGGGATTTGGCTTCCTCCACGTTCAGCCTGGGCCTGGGATCCAGGGTGCTGGGCTAAGAGTACACCAGGGACAGGCTCACAGTGCTGGGCTCCGTGGTCTCTTCGGAACCCATCACCTCCTTGACCACCATGCTTCCTTCGACCATCCCTTGGCTTTCTCCCCACGTCTCGCTTCCTCTGCAATTCTACCTGCCCCAAGTGCTGCTGTTCCTCAGGCTTCTGACGTCAGAGCCTTCTTTTGCTTGCTTTACAAAGTTTCCCTGGGAAATTTAATCAACACCTGCAGCCTTAACCCTTCCATAAACAGCAACTGGATATGGATAGAAGGGGAGAAATTATTATGGTGTAAACCTCATTGCAGCACTGGGGGATGGAAGCAAAAGTCTGAGGTTGATTCAACTTGGGGCCTCTGTACCCAACTTGGGGATGTTCTATTAGGGATTCAAGTGACATTCTGTAGTGTGTGAAATCATTTCAATTTCCAATTTTGGGTTGCTATTATATAGAAATGTATTGATCTCGTATCCTGTAACCATCCTAAAATCTTATTAGTTCTAGTAACTTTTTTTAGATTCCATAGGGTTTTCTATGTAAACAATAATGTTCGTGACTCAACAGTCTTACTTCTTCGTTCCCAACCTGGATGTCTCTAATTTCCTTTTCTTGCCTTATTGCACTGAGAATAATCTCCAGTAAAATGTTGAAGAGAATTGAGAGTGAACATCCTTGCTTTGCTCCTGAGCTTAGGGGCAAAGCATTCAGTATTTCACCATGAAGTATAATGTTATAATTTTTCTCATAGATGCCCTTTATCAGGTTGAGGAAGTTCCCTTCTATTCCTAGTTTACTTAATTTTTAAATAGGAAGGGATGTTGGATTTTATCTGATGCTTTTTCTGAATTTATTGAGATTATCATATGGTTTTTCTTTTATATTCTGTTAATATATTATGTAAGTTATATATAGCATATATTATGTTAACATATGTTACATATTATTCTGTTAATAATTCTTTTATAATTTGTTTATGGTGAAATAAATAGATTTTTTAAAATTTTTATTTATTTATTTATTTATGGCTGTGTTGGGTCTTCATTGCCGCATGCGGGCTTTCTCTAATTGCGGTGAGTGGGGGCTACTCTTTGTTGTGGTGCGTGGGCTTCTCATTGCAGTGGCTTCTCTTGTTGCGGAGCACAGGCTCTAGGCGTGCGGGCTTCAGTAGTTGTGGCACGTGGGCTCAGTAGTTGTGGCGCATGGGCTTAGTCGCTCCGCAGCATGTGGGGTCTTCCCGGACCAGGGCTCAAACCCATGTCCCCTGCGTTGGCAGGCGGATTCTTAACCACTGCGCCACCAGGGAAGCCCTAAATTGATTTTTTTAGATGTTAACTCAATCTTGCATTCCTGGGACAAATCTCATTTGATCATGATGTATTATCTTTTTATACGTCGTTGAATTTGATTTGCTGACTTTCAAAAAGGATTTTCACATACATGTTCACGAGGTATATTGGTGTGTAATTATCTTTTCTTATTATGTCTTTGTTAGGTTTTGATACGCTGGCCTCATAGAATGAGTTGAGAAGTATCCCCTCTTCAATTTTCTGAAACAGATTGTGTAAAATTGATATTATTTCTTCTTATTTTTGGTAGAAATCACAAATGAAGCTTGTGGACCTGGGCTTGGAGTTTCCTTGTGTGAAGATTTTTAATTACAAATTCAACTTTCAAAAATAGATACAGGGCTATTTAGCCTATCTATTTCTTCTTTTTTATTGTGGTAAAATATACATAGCATAAATTGCCCTTTTAAAACTATTTTTCGGTATACAGTTCAGTGGCATTAAGTACATTCACATTGTTATGCAACCAACACTATCCATCCCCAGAATATCTATTCTTCTTGAGTCAGCTTTTGGAGTTTGTAATTTTTTTTTAAAGGAATTTATCTATTTCACCTAAGTTGTCAAATTTATTGGCACAATTTCTTCCTAATATTCCCTTGTTATCTTTTTCATATCTAAAGAATCTGTAGTGATGTCACCTCTTTCATTCCTCATGCTAGTAATTTTTGTCTTTCTTTTTTTCTTGTTCATTTTGGCTGGAGATTTATCAATTTTGTTGGTCGTCTTCTTCTTTTTTTTTTTTTGTGGTATGCGGGCCTCTCACTGTGGTGGCCTCTCCCGTTGCGGAGCACAGGCTCCGGACGCGCAGGCTCAGCGGCCATGGCTCACGGGCCCAGCCACTCCGCGGCATGTGGGATCTTCCTGGACCGGGGCACGAACCCATGTCCCCTGCATCGGCAGGCGGACTTTCAACCACTGCACCACCAGGGAAGCCCTGTTGGTCTTCTTGAACCAGCCAGAGATATGTCTGATTCCTGTCTGGTCACCCTAAAGTGACATCTGCCAGGCAATAGGCTCCTGAAGTCATAGGTTCCCAATCAGCTTTTTATGATTTCACTATTACACATGAACAGCGAAGCATCACCAGGCATTTGAGAAAACTGCTAACATAGGAGTGACAGACCAAGAGAAAAAAGCACTCCAGAGTACGAGAGGTAATTTGAGAAACTGAAGGAAACTTAAAAATTCTGATCATCTTCAGAGATTCAGAAATGAAGATATTCAACAATATATATTGCATCCAGAAAACAAGAACAGGATACTATTTAAAAAGAATTAAGAAAAGAAAGAGCTTTTTGGCAAACAGAATTGGAAAATAAAATACAGAGAATATTCCTAGAAAGTAGAACCAAAATATCAAGACAATGTGAGAGAAAAGGATCAAAAGGAAATCTAGGGCTTCCCTGGTGGCGCAGTGGTTAGGAATCTGCCTGCCAATGCAGGGGACATGGGCTTGAGCCCTGGTCTGGGAAGATCCCATATGCTGCAGAGCAACTAAGCCCGTGCGCCACAACTACTGAGCCTGCACTCTAGAGCCTGCGAACCACAACTACTGAAGCCCACGTACCTAGAGCCTGTGCTCCACAACAACAGAAGCCGCTGCAATGAGAAGCCCGCACACCGCAATGAAGAGCAGCCCCCCACTCATCGCACCTAGAGAAAGCCCACGTGCAGCAATGAAGACCCAATGCAGCCAAAAATAAATAAATAAAATAAAGTTAAAAGGAAATCTAATTCTGGGTTATAGAAAGGGGATTCAGAAAGAATGGAGAACATGGAGAAGAAAGAGAAATCAATATTTCCCTGAGCTGAAGGATGTCATTGGCTTAAAAGTGTTTACTGAATGCCCAGCACTACAGATGTCAAAAGATCTTTGTTATAAAAGTTCATTGCACCAAGAACAAAGGATTCCTAAATGTTTCTAAGTGGAAAAACAAGTCACCTACAAGGGGAGGAGAATCATACTGGCAGCAGAGTTAGCAACAAAGCTTGTCTTTAAAATTTCTGAGGAAAATGGTTTTTAACCTAGAATTCTATATCCAGCCCAACTATCAATTTAGCCATGGAAAACTCAGAAAATTTACCTCCTCTTTTTTTTGCGGGGGGGAAGTTATTTGAGGATGTGCTAAAGCAAAATAAAGGTGTAAAACAAGATAGTCAGGAATGAAATAATGTGTCCACCCCCAGAAAGAAGCTAAGTCCCAGATGTTAACTGTATAGAGGCCTACAACCAGTACACATTTGTGCAGGAGAATAGAGGATCCTGGGCAGTAGGTCTCTGAAATAAAGAAGACCTGACAAGGTAGTTGGCTAGATGTAGAGGTTGAAGAAAACAAAGACTATAATAAAAGCAAAGAGTACAAGGAAAAGGCCACTAAAAACTCCAGGAAAAACAAAAAGCTGTATGAGAAAGAAAAGGTAGTTGTGGTACCTTTTCTGGCCCTGCAGTGAACAGTTGTTATGTAGTCACAATAAGGTAAATCCTGTTTATTAACTTTCAACTTTTAGAATCAATATATAAACAAAATTTGGAAAACAAAATTATTGTTATGGGACAATATGAATGTTACCAACCTTGATATTAAAAAAACAGAAATACAGGTTAGAGGCTTTGGGAGGTGTAAGGCAGGGAGGAAAGCTGAAGGGAAAGGTAGGGTCACTACAAACTTCATCTTACTATGTGTGTTGTCAAAAGATATTCTCTAAAGTTGATGAAAAAATAAAGATATAAGTATATTAAATTTACAAAAGCTATCAGCATATCTAAAAACAATTGAAGTTGGGAGGATGGGGGAGGGTGGTGCCATTAGAGCAAGAAAGTGGTAATGTCTAGAGCTGATAAACCAAGAAAAAGCCTGTGAGCTTGTAGAGATAAGAAGGTAACTAGGCAGAAAACTGTTCACATGAAACAAGAGTGGTTGCTCTGAGGAGTGAGGCTGGGGGTGTGTGGTATAGGGGATTCTTGTTTCTCATCACTGAATAACCTCTTCAGTACTATTTAACCACATGCATATATTTCTATGATAAAGTTAAAAGAAAATGTTGAGCCCCAGGTACTGGCCAGGCACTGTGCTAGGGGCGGAGGAGATAGTGATGAACATACACAGTCTCTGCCCCCTTGGAGCTTTCAAGCCTGTGGCTGTGACTGCAGGAGACCCTCCAATCTCTATTTCTTACTCTCACTTCTCCTGAGTTCTAGACTCAAACTGCAATCACTGATTACAGATTTCTCCTTCAGGGGGCCTCAACTTCACCTTGTCCAAAACACTACGGATTCCTTGTCAAAGCCTGGAATTCCCGTTTCCTATTGTGACGTTGCTCAGGATTCGCCTCTTCCTGAAAACCTTCCAGATTCTACCTCGAGGTGCTGAGCTAGGGACTCCTCGTCCAGTTGCCCCCACCCCACCCCACCCCTGCGGACTTCTATCTAAGCACACAGCTTCTTTCTGACCCTCAGTTAGAGGTGGGTCGGGTGCGTGGGCTTCTCACTTTGAATCTCTGATCCTCTACACAGAGAGTCAGATATAACGTGGATGCTTAGCAAAAGTCTGTGCAAAAATATGGTTTCCTTATCCCTCTCACCCTGCCAAACCCTGCGGTTTATCCCCCATTTCTGACCTCAACTTCACACCCTGGTGTCCAGACTCTAGCCTGGCCAACACAATTCTGCATGTCTGACCTGTCTTCCTTTCCAATCTCTCATCTCTCGATAACCTTCTCTGCCTGATTCATCCTTCATCCTATCACCCCAATTAGAAACCTGGATCATCTGTGACCGTCTCACTTCCCCAGCTTCTGGCCTTCCCACCACTGCTGTTGCTGACCTTCTCTTCTGACACCAAAGTCAACACAAACCCAGGACTCACTACCCCTCAAAACTCAATTCTGAGTGCTTTGCACACATTCGATCCTCAGAGCCACTGTATGCACAGGTGGCCGCGACTCTCCTCTTACAGATGAGGAAGCTTGCACAAGTCACACAGCTCTTAAGAGCAGTACCATGACCTGAACACAAGTCGGACTGGTTCCAAACTCTGTGGTGCTAACCATTGTGCTGTCTGAAATTTCTTTAGGCCTCTAGATGGACCACTGAACCATGTCCCCCCACCCCCATCCCCACTGGGCATCTCAATGACTGCAGAGTGAGCCTGCTGCATCACCCCTGCCTCTGCTCACGTCTAGACTCTAGGGTGGCCTCAAAGATCCTGCATGGTCTGACCTCTGCCTTCTTTTTTCATCTCCTGGTATCCAGTTCCTTGCCTTGCCCCAAGCCCAAGACACCCTGGAGCATGGCAGGGTCTTTTGTGCCCCAGTGCCTTTGCACAGGCTATTTCTGATACTCAGAAAGTCTCTCTCCTGACAAAATCCTACTCATGCCTGACAGCCCAAATCTCCATTGTTGTCATCTCAGTGATAATCCTAGCTATCCAACCTACCTTTTAATTTTTAGTTAACTCATCAGACTCAGGGCCTAGCACAATGCTAAGCCCTTACAAATAATAAATGCTAGAGAGGGTGTGGAGAAAAAGAAACCCTCCTATACTGTTGGTGGGAATGTTCTCACTAAGGAGAACAGTATGGAGGTCCCTTAAAAAACTAAAAATAGAGTTATGATATGATCCTGCAATCCCACTCCTGGGCATATATCTGGAGAAAACTCTAATTCAAAAAGATACATGCACCCCAATGTTCACTGCAGCACTATTTACAATAGCCAACGCATGGAAGCAACCTAAATATCCATGGACAGATAAAAAGAAAAAGTAGAATATATATATATATATATATATATATATATATATATACACAATGGAATATTACTCAGCCATTAAAAATGCTGAAATAATGCCACTTGCAGCAACATGGATGGACCTAGAGATTACCATACTAAGTGAAGTAACAGAGACAAAGAAAGACAAATATCATATGATATCGCTTACATGTAGAATCTAAAAAAAAAGATACAAACAAACTTATTTACAAACTAGAAAGAGACTCACAGGCACGGAAAACAAACTTATGGTTACCAAACGGAAAGCAGGGGCGGGGGGGTAGGGATAACATATACACACTACTATATATTAAAATAGATAACCAACAAGGACTCACTGTATAGCACAGGGAAGTATACTCAACATTTTGTAATAGCCTATAAGGGAAAAGGACCTGAAAAAAAAAATATAGATAACAATTACTGTGCTGTACACCTGAAACTAATATGACATTGTAAATCAACTATACAATTAAAAACTAAAATAGGACTTCCCTGGTGGTGCAGTGGTTAAGAATCTGCCTGCCAGTGCAGGGGACACGGGTTTGAGCCCTGGTCTGGGAAGATCCCACATGCCGCGGAGCAACTGAGACCGTGAGCCACAACTACTGAGCTCGCGTGTCACAACTACTGAAGCCCACGCATCTAGAACCCGTGCTCCACAACAAAGAGAAGCCACCGCAATGAGAAGCCCGCGCGCCCCAACGAAGAGTAGCTCCTGCTCGCTGAAAGCCCGCGCACAGCAATGAAGATCCAAAGTAGCCATAAATAAATAAATAAATTTATAAGTAGATTTATAAATAAATTTATAAAATAAAATACTGTTCTCTGCTGAGATTTAAAAAAAAAAGAAAAGAAAAGAAAAAAAGAGTAAGTCCTGAAGGGGTTGCAGTAAATGTTGCAGGAGTGATTTAAGTTGTTTGCATCAATTTGTTTGCCTTAGGCATTTGGGACGGCGGGGGGGGGGGGGGGGGGCGGGGGGAAGCTGCTCTCTGGTAGTTGGTTCTTGGCACGTTTTGAAGGCTGGCCTATGTCCTCCTGGGAGAGAAGGTCTTGAGAAGAAAGCCTCCATTTCGGGGGAGGGGGGGATCTGAGCCCCCATTATTAGAAACCTGGGAGATCCAGGGCCCTGAGGGGCAAACATCTTTGCTTGTTGGTACGGAGAAGAGTGCAAAGCACAACGGATGCGCTCAGTAAACATCTGTTGAAGCAGATTGCTTTTCCTTGCACAAGCTCCAAGCATCAACCAGGAACAACTTGATTTGATTTGGGGGTGGTTCTCGGCAGTTTGGGATAATTCATGTGTCATTTCTGGGCACAGGGCCACTGCTCTTTCTGGGTACCCTGAAGCCCTCCAAGAACCCGCCGGGTCTGCAGCCTCCACCCCTCGGTGTGCACGTGTGTACACACACGCTTGTGCACCGCGCAGGGCCAACGCTGGGTGGGTGTGGTGGTCAGGGTAGCACCGCCCCTCATCCTCGCTGGGATCGCGAGGGTTTTGGCTGGGGTCGACCTTCCTTTCAGGCGCCAGGCAGGGCCCCCGGCCAATCCCCGCCCCCGGAGCCCCGCCCCTCACTTTAACTTTTCCCGCCCGGCCCCGCCCCGGCCGTCCCTCCGCGCCCGGCCCCGCCTCGCCGCGCGCCCGCCCGCTCCCACCTGTCACCCCCATGCTGACCGAGGCTCTGTCTGGGAGGCGGGGAGCGGGCTGGTGGCTGCTAACCCCTCCGCCTCCAGTGCGCTCTTTGGTGGCGGGCTGTGGAGGGCGGTGGAGATGCCGGGGGCGCCGGCGTCTGTGATGTCGCCGCCTCTGTGACATCCCTGCCGCGACCCCTGCGGGCAGGGAACAGCGCTCACGATCCCGGCGAGTGGGTGGGCTTGGCGGTTGGGGGGGCATCTTCCGGAGTGGGCTGCCCCACCTCGCCCCGCAGCCAGCCGGATGCCCCTCTCCTGGAGACATGGGGCGGCCCTGCTCTCTGCAGCAGGCCCAGATTGGTGGAGGGCGGCGACCTGTAAGCCTGGGATCTGCTAGGCTGAACTTTGCACCTGCCCTGGGCACACTGGCACAAGGCCGCTGCCCCTTCTGTGCGCCCAGGACCCTCCAAGAGCCTGCTGAACCTGTCAACTTTACCCCAAGTTGTGCACGTGTGTCCAGTGCACACACACTGGGACACAGCTTTGGGGTGCAGAGCCAGATTAGATAAGGCACCCTGTGTGCTGGTGGCATCCATCCTCAGACAGGCCCTCCCCCACCACCAGGGAACCGACTTTGGGAAAGTCATCTCTGATCACCTGCAGACACTTGGGTGGCTGGAAGGGCTGGGAGTGCAGGCTCACTCCCAGTTCAGTTCCCAGGAAGCCAGGCCTCAGGGACAGAGGAGTGGTGGGGAGGTGCGGGGGGATGTCTTTGTTCTGGGCATGTGGTCTGCCCCCACCTACCCCTGCTGGGTCAGTGCCCAGGCTCGACATCCTCCTCCTCCTCCCCTCAGCCTGGCAGTGTTCTGCCAGGGACTTCCCTGCTGTCACCGGGTGGGGGATCTTGCCTAACTGGTCTGAATGGATAGCTCAGAGGCGGAACTGGAAGCACCAACTGGGAGGAGTGGTGGGAAAAGCAGCCCCATTCAAGGGCTGAGAACAATCCTTGCCTATGGGGCAAGACTTGACAAAGTCCCACCAAAAAGGCACAAGGAGGCTGCTGTCAGGATGTGAGGTTCAGCACACAGGCAGGCGCGAGTGGAGACAACCGTGGCCCAAACACACTTATTACCTCAAACTTTATTGCCCACGAGGAGTTCTCTACCGTCTCAACTCTGCAGGACCAAGGCTGCAGTTCTTCATGCACGGGGGGGCCGGGGGTCTCTCCCTGGGGAGCAGCATGGCTCAATGTGGAGAGCTGGGCAGAGGCCACCTTGGCAAAACGTGGGGATGAGCTTCTCCCCAGATGGAATCTCAGGGGACATCCCCTCACCCCACAACAATTCACAGTTGATTAATGCTACATGAGTGCTAATCAGCTCCCCCGGAAAGAAGAGGCTGGGTTGGGGTGATGGTAGGGGGTGCTCACCTTAAAGAAACCTGAAGGAGGTTTGAGGGGTCACACGCATGGAGAAGGGTCAAGAGCTGAGTCCCTTCACCCCATCTCCTGGCCTGCTTGTGCTCATGCAGAACCGCTGGCCTGCCCTCCTGGAGGGCAGCCATGAAAGTGCTTGAGGTCATCAGAGTGCAAAGTGCAGCTGGCAGTGCCCCCGAGACCAGGGGCAGCAGGACCAGTGAGTGTCTCGGGAAGCTCATGTGAGGCTGTTGAGAGCTGTGGCCTGGGTAACAGTAGCACCTGCGTCTGCTGCCTTCTCTCGAGTCTATTGTGCTCTGTCCTCAGATGGTTCCCGTCAGGTAGGTCTCATGTCACCCTTCACTACTACAGATGAGGGAGCTGAGTGCCAGCTGGGCAGGGGCGGTGCTGGGCCTGCGGCTGGGGCTCGGGGCCTGTTGCTCTGGGGAAGACTCGTGGCCAGCAGCAAAGGGGCATGTGCTTAGGGACTGAGAACCATGTCACTTGAACGCCTTCTCTGGTCCTTGGCTGAAGCTGAGCTCAGCTCAGGGCCTGGGTTGCGGCTCCCTGAGAAGTGTGGTGTTTTCTCCCAGGGAGACCCCCAGTGTCAGGCATTCCTCCCTCCCTGACCTGGTCTGAAAAACACCTAGAGATAGAAGGGGGGCTGATGGCCAGGCAAGGCCGGCCAAGGGCGTCAGAGGGCCCCCTCCATTAACCCAAGGGTAGGCACACCTGCTGCCCCAGTCCTGTACTGGGCCTGGGGGTAGGTCATTAGATGCTCATACCTGCCTGGAACCCGAGGGAGGGGCTCGCCCACCTCTCTGGGACCTGGGCCGGAAGCCACTCTCCCCTGACTGCCAGCAAGTGGTCACTGATCCTAATAGGTCAGGCCAGCTTGTCAGGACCAAGGCAGAGAAGACCCTCTTTGTTCCCCATGGGAAGAGGCCTCCTGTCTTCCTCCTCCTCCTCCTCATGTGGGCTCAGGAAGGACACAGGTGGGAGATCCTGGGAGGTGTTCTGCTAGCCCCACCTTACTGCTGCCAGCCCCTGGTCCCACCGCTGAGCCACAAGCTGGCAGACCCCTGGGAGCAGGCAGGCTGAGCCTGTGTCTCAGGGGCAGCGCTGAGCACCGAGAAGGAAGGTCGCTTCTGGCCGAGTGGAGCCAGTGGTGGAAGGCTGGTTAGGGCCTGTTCTCCAGCTGGCCATGCTTGACCCTCCAGCTCCAGGCGAAGCTGCCATCAGGGGCCAGGGTGCACTGCAGGTCGATGCCCGAGTCTGGCACCTCCATGTCGTAGCGCACGGGCTGCCCGTCCTTGGTCACCAAGCTGAAGGCTGAGGCTGGGATCTGGGGGCAGAGCAAACGAATGGGCCTGAGAGTGGCAAGGGGCACTGAAGGTTCCTAGAAGTGCGGTGCTGACGGTCTCCTGCCGTGCTGGCAAACACCTCCCTCCAGCTGAGTAGGCAGCCCTGAGGTATCACCTGCCTTTCCTTCTGGAACACTTGCAGAATCTCTCCTGGCCCAAGTGTGGGTCCTGAGGACCCTTCAATCACCACGGCCAGTCTTGCCCTGGGACCCCAGGGGGCATCTGGGGCCAGCTATTTCCTCTGGTGCCATTTCTACTTATTCAAAAGCCTCCTTCCTGGAGGACTGGGCTAGGTGCACTGGGTTCTGGGGCTCTGCCCCTAAGCGTGTACCTGCCCCCTTACCTGGCTGCTGATGCCGGTTGCGATGTCTCCCACCTTGACCCGCTGGAATTCCCGGATGTGCAGGTGTTCGCCATTGAGAGACTGTATTTGGACTTTCACACCTAGAAGGCAGGTAAGGTGACCGTCAGGGGAGTGGCTGCTAGCTCCCTAAGGCGCCCTGTGTAGGGGGAAGCAGGGTGGCTGTGGGGAAGCTGCAGAGATGACATGGAGGATGGAGTGGCTGTAATGTTATACACCCCTGCTAGCTCTTACTGGCCATTTCCTGTCAACACCAGGAATTTGGCCTGCACAGTGCAAACATCTAGGGTTGGCTGCTGTGGGGAAGTAGTATTTCAACTTACAAAGCAGAAAGGAACTGGAAACAAAGATTCTTAAATTAGATTGTGGGCAACTTAGATTTTAAGTCCCTGAGGTGGAGCGGCCTGTGGCCAGGCATGGGGGCTTGATGCCATGAGTCTCACTGTCCCCAGGGAACCGTAAGCTGATGAAACCCTCATTCCATCAAAATCACAACATGACCTCTGCAACCACGCTTGAAAACAGAGTTCTACATATGTTGTCCTTCTCATCTTCTGACTTCAAATGTCAGAGGAGGATCTCAGCAAACCTACTACTGAGTTTTTTTTTTTTTAATATTTATTTATTTTTGGCTGCGTTGGGTCTTTGTAGCTGTGCACGGGCTTTCTCTAGTTGCGGAGAGCAGCGGCTACTCTTCGTTGCAGTGCGTGGGCTTCTCATTGTGGTGGCTTCTCTTGTTGTGGAGCACGGGCTCTAGGTGCATGGGCTTCAGTAGCCGTGGCTTGTGGGCTCTAGAGCTCAGGCTCAGTAGTTGTGGCACACGGGCTTTGTTGTTCCACGGCATGTGGGATCTTCCCGGACCAGGGCTCAAACCCGTGTCCCCTGCACTGGCAGGCGGATTCTTAACTACTGTACCACGAGGGAAGCCCCTATTGCTGACTTCTTGATTAAAACGCTCACGGGGTCCCGTTCTTCCTTTTCCCTTTAGAAGACATTAATTGCTCAGCTTTTGGACTCCAGGCCAGGAAAGACTGCTCTCTGCCCCAAGCTAGAGGCCTTCTGGGACTCTATCAACTGCTCACAAGGGGCAATGGTCCTTGACTGCCCCATGAGGAAAGGCTCTGGATGATCAGGGCCTTTACTCTAAACCAACTTAATGGCCAGGTACCTCAAATTCTGGGTGCCAGGTGCCTTCCTCTCCCTTCCCCACTGTGCCCCACTCTCAGACTCCCCAGTCCCAGGCGGATCAGGGGACTGTACCGTTGAAATAGCTCGGCGTGTCGGTGGGCCGCCCCCGGGCCAGCATCATGTTCCAGCTGGAGCTGCGGGCCTCCGCCTGGCTGCCCCACGAGTGCACGCCGGAACTCAGGGTGTCCCGCGAGCTCTGAGAGGCCTTGGACGGGTTCTGAAACAGAAGTGGGCACAGACTCAGGCCCCCGGGCTCAGGGAACCATCTCTGGCCTTGGTCTGATTTGGCAAGGAAGTGCCCATGTCCTAGGCTGGAGCGTGGCTCTCCTGAGCATTGGGGCTCAGCACAGGGCTGAGCTCCTGAGGGGTCCTTGGGCTGGAGGAGGGTGAACAGTAATTCTATGGGGACCAAAGCCAAGCCTTTCCCCTCACTATCCTAGTAGCCAAACCAGTCCCTAATTCTCGGGTGTGTTGGAGATGGACCGTCTCATTCTGAGAAACCAGGACCCCTGCCCCAGTGAGGACCCCTCTCAGAAGGAACGGGCACCCCTGTCACCTGCCCTTTACCCACTACTTGCGCACGGCCCCTTCACTGGCCGGACACAGAGCCACCTGCCCTGTGCCCTGGCTCCTGGCCCTCGGCCGACTCACCTTCTCACTGTCATCTGACAGGGAGAGGCTGTCGACGCTGAGGCATGACAGGATTTGCTCCTGTTCCTCCAAAGAAAATGGCTGCGACAGGCTGTTCAGAAATAATTCTGCAGAGAAAGGCAGAAGACTTTGTGAAAGACTGGGAGGGTCCGGCTGTGCCGTCGGCATTCTTCTGCACAGACTGCTGACCCTGGGAAGAGGACGAAGCCCAGGCCTTGGTGCAGGGCCCAGGCCTGTGCTCAGGGACCTGGCTGCCGTGGCTGCCCGTACCTATTTCCAGCTGTTGCAGCTCTTGCTCAGGGAAGGTTGCCTTCCGCTCTGGTGAGCTGGAGTTCTTGGCTGGGGCCGGATCCAGGGAGGACAGAGCCAGTGGTTCCCACGTCCCGGACTCTTCTTTGCCCCAGTGCAGGCTGGGAGACTTGTTCTGCTCTGGGGGCTCTGGGGGTGGAGGAGGCTGGAGCTTAGGGGCCCCGCCTGCTGCGTCCTCAGCTGGCTGGGGCCCCGGGTCCTCTGGTGAGAGCTCCCCTGGCGACAGCTCCACTGGTGGGGCACGTAGGGTCTGGTGAGGGTGCCCTTGGCTTGGCGGTGGGTGGGCTTGGAGTGGCGGCGGATGTCTTGGTTCTTTGTACTCTCCCCTCCAAGGGCTCCTCAGACCTCCCACTACAAAACAGAGAGGACACGTGGTGAGGTGGAAATGGGCCAGGCCAGGTGGCCTTTCCTGAGCAGAAGAGGGCCAGAAGCGGGCAGTGAGGGTGGCCTTTCGCCCGGCCAGGACATGACTTCGGAGGGCAGTGTGTGGTCTCCAGAGGAGGCCTCTTCCATAAGATGGCCCTGATGATGGGACTAGGACAGTATTTCTTTTATTCCATTTTCCTCCTAGGTAACAACTGCAAATTTAAAAATTACAGAATTGGCTCCAGAGAAGGACTTTGTTAATATTAATAGTAAAGAGAAGATTTAAAAATAGCTCTGGGGTAATGCCAACTCACAGTTCCCAGGCGAATGGGCCTCGCTGACCCTCCGTCTCTCTTACCCCTCCCCTCCCGATAGTCAGTGCTTCCTGAAGACACCATTCCTCTGGAGTGGGGGGGCAATTCAGCCCTGGGGCCATTACAACTACCATCTAGGTTTGGCGTCAGGGGGGCTCTGCAAGGTCTCTCTTCTGTTTTATTCCCTTTCGTTCCCATAACCACTGTCTCTCCCTTGCCACCCCCTACCCCGCCCCCGGCTGATGTTCTCTTATGTTCAACATGTCATTTTCGGTTTGATCAAATTCTTGCAAAGCATGTGTTATTTTTATTTATCAATTTTTTAAATACATTTATTTTATTTTTGGCTGCATTGGGTCTTTGTTGCTGCGCGTGGGCCTTTTCTCTAGTTGTGGCGAGCGGGGGCTACGCTCCGTTGCGGTGTGCGGGCTTCTCATTGCGGTGGCTTCTCTTGTTGTGGAGCACGGGCTCTAGGCGCGTGGGCTTCAGTAGGTGTGGCACGCGGGCTCAGCCGTTGTGGCTCGCAGGCTCTAGAGCGCAGCCTCAGTAGTTGTGGCATGCGGGCTCAGTAGTTGTGGCGCACGGGCTTAGATGCTCCGCGGCATGTGGGATCTTCCCGGACCAGGGCTCAAACCCACGTCCCCCGCATTGGCAGGCAGATTCTTAACCACTGCGCCACCAGGGAAGCCCTATTTATCAATTTTTAATTTCCAGAAAAGGCACTGTGTTCTAGGCCTTGCTCTGTTGGTCCTCTTTGCAGCCAGCACTGCGGCTTGAAGATCCAGCCAGGTTGCCCCGTGAGCAGAGTTGCTTTAATTGCTGTGAGCGCTGCGTGGAGCATCCTCCACCCCCCACCCCCACCTTTGGCCTCTCCAAGCTCCCAGGGAGGGACACCCGACTCCCCTCCCACAAACGACACTGCAGCGTGCATCCGCAGGCATGTCCCCTTATGGATCTGGGCAGAGTTTCTTTGGCGGTGCGCCCTGGAGTGGGGTGCTGGGTCCCGGGTCTGCAGACGTCTGCCGGAGTGCTGCCAGGTGCTCTCCAGCGGAGCGCAAAGGCCACTGTCCCTCATCCCCACCAACACTTGGCGTGACACCAACTTCCTGATTTTCCCCACACAAATGGCTAGAAAGTGATACCTGGCTTTATTTTACATTCTCTGATACTGAGTTCAAGCCTCCCTTTATACGTTGTAACCCCTTGCCCCATCTCTGAGCACAGCCTCTGCATCAAGACACAGTACTAAGCACAGTACAAGACACAGTACTAAGCACTTGGACTCACGTGACCTCAGTCTTCCTAACAAGCCTGAGGCTGGTGTCATGCCCATGCTCTAGACGGGGAAACCAAGGCTCTGAGAGGCTGAGTACCTTGCTCTTGACCACTACACGACCCCGCCGCCTCTCTCACCCCCTGCAGCCAGCATGGGGCTCTTACCATGCTGCAGCGCCAGGCTGACCTTCCCCCCCAGCTCTGCTGCAGACGCTCGGTGGACAGGCTCTTTCCTGAGCCCTTCCTGGATGGCCTGGGCTGTGAGGGGGGCACAGGAGGGCGGGATCTCCCTCACAGGCGGAGGCTCGCTGGCAATCTGGGGGTCAAAAGGCAACATATGAGGCCTGCCTCCCCGTCACTTCCTGGCCCCCGGCTTTCTGTTCTTGCTCCTCCCCACTCTCCCCTGCCCTGCTGTGCTGGGGTCGGTCACAAGGACCAGAGTGGCCTGGTCTAGAGTGAGGGCTGGGACTGTTCCAAGAAAAGGTAGGACAGCACAGAGCCAGGGGGTCAGGCACCCATGACCCCCAGGCCCAGCCTGTCAGGAGGCAGGCAGAGATGGCGCGGGGTGTGGACGCAAGAGAGCCCTGAACCATGGACCCGAGAAGACCCCTCACCTAGGATCTGCCCTTGGACCCTCAGATTCCAGTAGCCAAGTATTTTAGTCAGGATCCCACATTTATGATGAGGCCTCTGCTTGCTCCCATCTGCCACTGAAGAGCGGCCCAAATGGGAGGCCACATGAAGCCTGCAGCCCGGGCCCCGTGGCCCTGCTGGCGGCCCCAGGCGCTGTCACGGACCTTGAGGCACAGCGGCCCTCGGAAGTACTGGGTCCAAGGGTGGCAGCCATTGAGCATGTGCAGCATCATGCAGCAGCTGCTCCAGACGTCCGCCTTGGCGTCACAGGGCTTGCCCATCACCACCTCTGGCGCCATGTGGGTCTCTGTACCGGGGATGTAGTCCCCTGAGAAGGTGAGGAGAGACAGAAGAGGCAACTGTGAACTCTGACGGGCAGAAGCCTTGGCAATGACCACCCGAGTCAATTCCTGAAACACCCTGACTGTCTCAGAGTACTTTAAATAGAGATAGAGCCTCCAAATCAAGCTTGCTGGGGCTGGGCCAAGTCGGGGGTTGTCCTGGGGACTAGGACAAAGAATATATCACCCAAAACACGGGCTCTGCCCTGTGGACCAAACCCTTAAAGTGCTTTCCCCAAAGGGGGGAGGGGCCTAGACGCTGGAAATTCGGTCGTAGAAGACTGATTAGTGGTACGATGTTCCTAAAATGTAGGTTAAAAAAAAACAAAAAGGAAAAAGAAAACTTATATGCATAAAAGACTAGAAAGATTGATGCCAGATGTGAACAGTATTTTTTTCCAGCGGTTTGTAGTTTTGCTTAGCTTGACTTTCTGCAAAAGATATTAGAAGAGACATTTTTGTAATAAGAAGAAAACACTACAGTTATTTCCAAGTGGAGGGCAGGTGTCCATGTGCAATTTACATCTTCAGAATTACCAACAGTCCTTTAACAACAAAGAATCACTTCTAAAAGACTGTTTTTCCTTTGGTCAAAATGAAATAATTTTACGCTAATGCTATAAATAAGAAAGCAGGGCACAAAATCGTGTTATAATGGCCTTAACTATGTACGGAAAAAAAAAAGACCTGGAGGGAATTATCTAAAATATTCATGATTATCTCTCTGGGCAAGAGGAATGGTGAGAATTCTTTTTTCCTCCCCTTCCATACCACTTAACACTGTAGTCACCAAATATTTTACAGTGGGTATGGATTATTTTGATAACCAGAAGAACGTAAGTTAAAAACAGGGATTTCTTCAGCTACTGAGCCCCAGCCCCTTGGTCAGCCTTCCCATTTTGCTTTCAGAAACTGTGCTCTCAGAGACACAGGAGGGCTGAGGTCGCAGGCTGGGAGCACAGCTCCCCAGGAAAGGCTGGACGAGAGGGGTGGAGCTCTGGGGGCTCTGAGGTAGGAGACCTGGGGACCTCAGGCGAGGCACCCAGCCTTTCTGTTCCCCACCCTGTATAACAGGAACGGCAGAAACAAGCACCTGATGTGCACCATTGCATTTAAGCCTAAGAACAAAAGCCTCATAACCTAGGGCTGCGGTGGGGCTGAAGCATCCTGGTGGACCTAAAGTGCTCACATCTCTGATTGCCATTAAGGAAAGAACAGAAGGCACATGGCTAATGCGTAGTAAAGGCTACTGGCTATTATCATTGTGGGGAGAGGTGGCGGGGAGGGGCGTACCTGTGAGCAAAGACTTCCCCAGGCCATCGGGTTGAAGGCACACAGCATGGCCAAAGTCGCAGAGGGCTGCGTGGCTCCCATCGCTGGACAGGAGCACATTGTCGGCTGGCAGGCCGCCCCCGGGAAGAAGAGGAACAGGTGAGTCACCAAGGGCCCCGGCCCAGTCTGCGCCTCCGGGAGGCGATTTTCTGGCCGACCCTGCATGGCAGCTGCTGCTTCTGATTAGTTCATTAGTCATGGAGGGAGGGAGGAGGGAATCAGTTCAGCCTGGAGGCAGGCAGCGGGCAGGATCTCTGAGGGTGAGGGGACAGTGCCACTCAGCTCTGCTGTCCCCACCCTCCCCCAGTGGTCACCAGTGCGGTAGGAGCTTGATCTGCTGTTCTCTGTGGGCATCGCCCACTGGAAACTACAGTGCCAGGCTGAGGGCTGGGAGAACACACTTCCCCTTCCTACTGGAGCAGGTCCAGAAGACCTGGGAGGAAACCAGGCAGGGTGGGGTGAGGAAGGAGCCCCACGGGGACCAGGGCCACAGGCGCCCTGAGCCTTACCTTTTACATCTCCATGTAGAATCCTTCGGGTATGGAGGTATTCCAGCCCTTCCAGAGCCTGGCCCAGGTAATAAAGGGCCCGGTCCTCCGGCAGGCAGCCCCTCTGCTTTATGAGCTGGCCCAGCGAGCCACCTAGGAGACCAATGGCCAGTCTTTACATGGGGCTTTTCCAGGCCTGCAAGCCAGCCAAGGGCAAGTGCCTTCGAAGGGCAGGTGGTAGAAAGCAGGCCTTTCTTGCTCATGTCACAGGGTCAAGAGAGTAAAAACGGATTGACTGGGCTTCCCTGGTGGCGCAGTGGTTGAGAGTCCGCCTGCCAATGCAGGGGACACGGGTTCGTGCCCTGCATGTCCGGGAGGATCCCACATGCCGCGTGTGGTTGGGCCCATGAGCCATGGCCACTGAGCCTGCGCATCCGGAGCCTGTGCTCCGCAACGGGAGAGGCCACAATAGTGAGAGGCTCACGTACCGCAAAAACAAAACAAACAAAAAACCGGATTGACTGGGGACGAGGGTCAACGTGGGCAAGACTCGGGGAAACCCTTGGCTCTGAATGTGGAGGGAGAAGGAGCGGCGGCTGGCTCCTTACCTTCTAGAAGCTCCATGAAGATGTTGACCCAAGGACCTTCCTTCACAGCTCCATACAAAGGGACGATTCTGGGTGAGGTCAATCCCGCACATGCCATCAATTCCTCAGCCCGAAACACTTCAACTCGCACCTGGAAGGGCCCAGAGGTGGGTGTGAATCAGGGTGATGGACCAGGGCTGTTTCCCTAGCATCCTGTCAGGACCCTTGAAGCTCCCTGCACAGAGGCCGCTTATGTTCCCGGTGACGATTCTGAGGCCAGGCAGGGGCCCTAGTGGGCCTACTGGACCCTTAGAGACTAAACTGTGCCCCCTGGGGGTCGGGGTCAATGCCTAGCACTTGATTAAAGTTCTTCAGTGCTGATGCCTATGGAAATATAGTCACAAAAACTACAATCCTTATCCAGGCCCCTGGCATGCTGCCCACCCTCAGAGATCTGCCAAACACAGAACTTTCTTTTCCCCAGCCCAAATGTCTGGACAGTTTCTAGGTCATGGGACATTTTCTGTATCAACATCCACTTCTACTCTTAAGATGCTGGGCTTCTGTAGCCAGAGTTGATGTGGCCAAGACTCTGCCTCTGTCAGTGCCCCTGGATCCTCAGCATCCTTCTGAGCACTTATTATTTGCTCACAATTATTTGCCTTTTCCCCTGAGGGCTAAAATGTCCATGTAGATGGGGCAGTGCTTGTTTACTCTGTTTGCAGCTGTTTCCCCAGGATCTGGGCATAGGAGAGGATTCTCCTATGGGGAGGGGTTTGGCCAAGGCCCCTCTTACAGGGGACTGGCAGGCCAGGGACCACCCACTCCTTTCTGCAGGGACCAGCATGACACGGAGGGAAGAAATAGGCCTTGGATACAAACATCCTGGGCTGAGACCCTGGCTTGGCCATTTCCAAAGGTAGATCACTTCCCCCAAGCTATGTGCCTCCACATGTGAACGGTGGGGACAGTGGCATCTGCTCCAGGGTCGAGTGGGGGTCTGGAGGGGTGATAACCAGCACCAGGCCTGGCAACTAGTGGGTGCTCAGGAAATGCCAGTTCCCCGCCTCCTCCCTCCAGCTCAAATAAGAGCAGCTTACTAAATGCTTACACTTGCTAACAGAGACTTGTCCTTTCCGGCTGCAGCTGGTTCTCATGTTAGCCCTGAGAAACGCCACCAGGGGGCACGAGTGGTAACAAAACCAGCCTGGAAGCCGTCAGTCAGGGCCTGGCAGTTTTCTTCCGAGACCTGCGGACTTGTGCAGCTTTTGGACTTTAGCCTATCAGTGGAAAATGTCCCTCTTCTGGTTACTTGCAGAATATCTGGTTTGGTTAATCAACTCACATGAACTTTGACTCCCTGTCAGTGTTTCCAGCTCTGAACCTGAGTTGGAACTAATTCGCCAACCGGACTTGTATTAACAAACGTCTTTAACCCTACTGTTCCCAAACTGTGGGGTGAAGCGCCCTGGGGCACCGCAGAGAACTTGGAAGGGGGCTACAGGGTATTTTGCATTTGAGGGAAACAGCAACGATTGGCATCTGGGGACACCACACAAACTACTAGCGTGAGACAGTTCAGTTTCAATGATCGAACTGCATTCTTTTGATGATATACCTTTATGAAGCTAGGTTTTTGGAGGTTGTTGTGACAGAAAGGTACTTCAGGGGGATAATGTGGAGCAGGAAATGAAAGTGACGGTGTCCAATGATTTCTGAGTTGGAGAAGTTGTGCCTGCCCAACAAGGCATGCATCCCATTAGTAAATAACGCTTGTTTAAGAGCAAAATTTATCTCTCAGTTTATGTGTGTTGTTATTCAAATGGCTACTAGGTTATTAGGATAAAGACTTATTATTTGACCCAATTATTTAATAAATGGAACTGGTCAGTACTTGTTTTGGCCTGGAGCACCTTGAAAAAATGACTGAGACATTAAGGGTTGTGAACCAAGAAAGTCTGGGAGCCTCGGCTTTAACTCTGAAGAAATCCTTAAGTCCTCTGGAGTGTCCCAGGAATATTAAAACCCTGCCCAACCACCCAGATCAGAGGGGGTTGGAAGGGACACTTCAAAACACAAGGTGCGTTAGAAGTCTGGGCCAGCCCCAGGGAGAGCAGGCTGAAAGGGCGGTCCCAAGGGAGAGGGGACGGCCTCCTGGTCCAGGCCAGCTGCCCGTCCGGCCACCTCTCCTCCCTGGACTTCAGTGTCTGCATCTGTCAGGTGAGGGCTGGACTCCGATGAGGGTGTTAATTAATGAGGACTAATGTTTAATGCCCACTTAACACGTGCCAGGTGCTGTGCTCAGCACTTCATACGCATTAGTCGTTTACACCTTACGATAGCCCAGGAGGTGACGTCATCTCATTTTACAGACAACGGAGCTGAAGACTGGACCAGTAATCTGCTCAAGGTCACTGGATATAAAGTAGCAAAGCTGGGATTTTGGTGCGGGAAGCCTGACTCCAGAGCTCCCAGCTACCCCACCTCGCTGAAGGCCCTTCGAGCTATATTAGCTTTTACATCTGGGACGTTTTTACCTACGTTCAGGCACGCGCCTACCCAGGTGGAAACATGGTCAGCAATCACCTAACTGCCAAATCCACAAGTCCCTTCCCTCTGCTTAACTGCCTGCATGCTTTACACTGCAGATCGCTTTTTCCTTCTTGAAACTTTCCCTCTTGTTTTCTTTAGTATTCGTATCCATTTTATTTCATCGGTAAAAAAGGGAGTAACGGCAACTCTAATAAGTTCTTTTAAAGGTCCCAGGAACATAAATATGTGAAGGTGACTCACACAGTATTGGGCACATAGCTTTCCGCCTTATTTCACCATCACCATCGAGATATTCTCCCCTCGGTCCTTGTTCTGATTTCCTTCTCAACACTTGTCCCGGCTGACTTCACCATGTCCCCGGCTGATGGCTGCTTCTACCACCTTTACACCATGTAAGTGTCCACCCCCCATTACAATCTGAGCTCCTTCAGGTCAGGCGTGTGGATTCCACACCTCTGTCTCCCTGGCACAGCGTCTGGCACAGAACAGGTGCTTGGTAACAACAGCTGGCTGGACTTGGCCAAGGCCACACTACCCCAGATCAGGGCAGAGGCAAAAGGAGGCTCCCAGAACTCCATGCTCGAGCCAGATGTTCTCAAACGCACAGTTCTTAACCCTCTTTGAGCCACAGACCCCTTTGAAAATCTAATAAATAAAAAATGTGTGTGTGTCCACACTTGCCACACACATACACACTTTAGAATAAAGTTCCAGGAATTCATGGATCTTATGACTTCATCCACTGACTAGGTTAAGAACTTACACACTGGCTGTTAAAAAGCACTGGACAGGGCTTCCCTGGTGGTGCAGTGGTTGAGAGTCTGCCTGCCGATGCAGGGGACGTGGGTTCGTGCCCCGGTCCCGGAGGATCCCACATGCTGCGAAGCAGCTGGGCCCGTGAGCCATGGCCTCTGAGCCTGCACATCCGGAGCCTGTGCTCCGCAACGGGAGAGGCCACAACGGTGAGAGGCCCGCGTACCACAAAAAAAAAAAACAAAAAAAAACCAACAAAGCACTGGACAGATGTATATATATGTAACAATAAGGAAATCTATCCATGATACACTATTACATGAAAAAACATGGTACAGAACAACAAATGAGTGCAATCTCATTTCAATAAAAGAAACAACTACATGTTTATATATGCGTAACAAGTCTAAAAAAGATTTATGTCAAAGGCTGGTTACCTCAGAAGGGGACTGGGCAACAGAGGGACTTTTGCTTTTTGGTTATCATTCTTTTACAATGAGCCTCAATTAATTTGAAATTAAAAGTAAGCTCAAACAAAACCCTAACCCCACCCCCACCCCCAAACCCTACATTAAGCCCTGGACTTGTGACCAATCAACATCTGACCTGGGGCCATGAATGTTCTAGAAGGAGGGCCAATGGGGTGCTGATGTCACCACATGATACTCCACATCCTGGATCCTCCCTAGGGAGCGTCAGAGGGTGTGCAGACTTGCTCTGACCCCCTGTGCGGCTTGACCTCTGATCCTTGGTCCCCACCCTCCACCCCTACCCCCTAGCAGGGAACTGTTTCTGAGATCTTCCAGCTGAAATCGCTAAAGGACACTACTGCCTCCCCTACCCCGCTGCCCTGGAGAGAAAGGAGGGGTGGTCTGCCCGACCAAAGGCAGCTGTGTGAGCTGCCAAAAGCCAGCCCCGCTAAGATCCTGGATGGGGGAGGCGGAGTTCTGAGAAGGGCTGGCTCTGGTGGGCTGGGGCAGCAGCTCTGGGGCTGGCAAGTCCGTGCCTTGTGCTTGGAGCTTGTCCGACTGCCTTGGGGAGGTGAGAAATGGAGTCTCTGTCCTCTTCTACTATATTAGGCTTGTTTACCTTGTTGCCTGGGACTCTGAGAAACTCAGCAGGGGAACAGCTGAGGAGCCTGGTGACTAAGCTCCCCAGCATGGGCGCTCATCTCCAGGACACTTCACACTCTCTTGCCCTCCTCCCACCCACCTCTCAGGAGGAACAGCTGAGCCTTCTCCGGTGGCCTGGGGAGGGGACTGCAGCTGAGGAGGTCAGGCACGTGGCCTTGGCATCCCAGCGAAAGATGATGACCCGTGCTGGCAAGAACTAAGCACGTGTTTTGGCCGGTGGGGGTGGGCAGGGGTGGAGCTGGCTTATTTGACACAGTAGGTCTGAAGCTTGGGGTAATACCTACGGATAGTCCCCTCTCTCATCCCATCACCCCGAGGCCCAAACTTTAGAACTCTAACACCTGGTCACACACAAGCCAGGGAAGCCAGGTTTACTCACAACACAATCTGTACCATCGCCCCTTAAAGTCACAGGCACCCAAGACAGTGGCGGCAGCAGTGTCTACTCTGCGTGGGGCCTGAGTGGGATGGACCTGCCTGGGCTGGCTGCTTGGTCCCTTTCCTTTTGGGGATCAGAGTGTCCTTGACAAAAGCCATTTGAAAGCAAGGTCCATCTTTGAATTAGCTTATTTCACGCTGCCCAAGGGCCAAGGAAATGGCCCATGGAAATGTTTCTGATTTCCACCTTAGGAAGTCCTTGGTGCTAGCCCTCAGGCAGAGTTGGGGTCAAGGACAAGGTGGCTTCTAGTCAAGGTGAGAGGAGAGGAGGAGAAATGGTATCTGAAGGAGAGCACGACTGACACCCTCAAGGACTGCTAGGCCTGGGCAGTGTGATCTGACAGAAGGAGGCCTCAGTTCCAGGCCCAGCTGTGCAGCTGTGGGCAAGGTGCAGACCCTCTCTGGTCTCCAGTTCTAACATCAGTGAAACGAGGGAGTGGGAGAGGTGATTCAGGCCTCCGCCTCTAATCAAAATCCTAGAAGCATGAGTCTTCCTCCCCTGTCCCTTCCCGAAGAGAGGTTCAAAGCCAAACTCTACAGTCAGACAAGCCTGGGGCTTCTTGCTAAGCCTCGTTTCCTCATGTCCATCTCGCAGGACCTAGTACCACCAGCCGACAGGAGGCAGAGCCCAAACTCAAGTCAGATCTGACTCCCAAGGTGCACGGCCTCCGTCGGGAAGCACCTGTTAGGTGGAGGCTACGCTCTTGCTATTACCTTCTGGTCCACTATATAGTTTAGGGGTTTCAGCTCAACATGAATTTCATGACAATCCAACCATCTTCCAGGTTTTGATGTGCTCTAGGGGCCTGGCATCAGGAGTGGCCCAGGCTGCGTGCACACTCTCATGCTCCCTCACATACAGGAGCACCAAGTGTGGCACCCAGGCGGGGACACGTGACCTGGACTGTCCCCTTCCAGCTCCAGTTGACCCAGGGCAGCCAGGATAGCCAGACGCCGTTAATGAGTCAGACCCATGGCCTCCCTGTGCTAACCCTGAAAGGAAGCAGAGGGAACGCGACAGGCCCCCTGTCCGCCTTCCCTCCTCAGCCCCGGAGCCCGGCATACCTTTTTGACGGCACACTGGAAGCCGGTTTGCTTGTCCTCCATCCTGTGGACCTCTCCGAAGGAGCCTCTGCCCAGGCAGGGCTGGCGCGTGGCCCAGTGGATGTCCTCTCGGTACTCATAATCCACCGGCTTGAGTTTCTGGGGTTGGCGGGAGACAGAGGCCGGTTTCAGTGGCCAGGGCAGTGGAGGGACGAAGGGTTACAGTGAGGAAGGCTCTCCAACTGGTGGCCCTTGCCAGGCTGCTGGGCTGAGCCCTCACATCCAAGAACACCAGCAGGTCTGAGGCAGGGCTCGGGGTCGGGGTGTGGGGACGGACCCAGAGAGGGGGTTGCAGGAGTCAGGCGAAGGCAAGGGAGAGCTTCACGGGCTGAGGCAAGCCGACCCTTGAGAAGAAGAAACCTCCTCCCCAGACTTGTGATTGTGGGACAGAAACGGAATTGTCAACCGCCTTGACCATGAGAAAAAGTGCCTCAGGAGCTAAGTGGTAGAGGAAAGGGAAGGACAGTGAAGAGGGGCAGGGGACAAGGGACAGTGTGTCAGAGATGGACGGGATAACACCCAGAAATCTAAGTTTGGGAAAATCACATAACATTACACAGTGACCCAGGAAGAGAACTAGAGGAAAAGGGGAAGGGAAGGGGGGTAGTGAAGGTGGACGGCCCTGGAGGTGGAGGCGGTGGTAGGTGTACGTGTGTTTGGGGACTACTCGCCTCAATAAGCAGGACCCCCTCACTGTCCTCGGTTTCAGGGCTGGGCTCCCGAGGCTTGGAGCCCCCCACCAACCAGGTCTTGGCCAGGCTGGCCAGGCTGCGGGCCTGGCCGGAGCTCACGCTGCCTTGCAGAGCGTGCACGAGGTACTCCTCCATGGACAGCTTGTCACTCGAGCCATGAGACGGGCAGCTGGGCTTCACATGTGGGCCAGGCAGGGGCTTCTGGCCGTCTACACAGGCCAGTCTGCCCAGGGGAGGGCCGGGCAGGGGCTGCTGGCTGTCTACACAGTTTGCCAGTTTGCCTAGGAAGAAGGACTCTAAGGGGTGAGGTTTCCAGGGCTGGAGAGGGTGGAACGGGAAGGGGTGGGGCCGTCTGCTGTAGGGGAAGGGGTGAGCGGGCTGGGGCAGGGGGCCTACGTCCTGGGGGTGGTGGAGTTTCCACACGTGGTTTAGGCACTGCAGGGGGCTGATCAGTTTGTGGAGTTCCGGTCGAGGCAGTGCTGGCCGCAGGCCCTCCCCGAGTCTCTTAAACCAGAGATGGCCAAGGCCTGGCTCCTTCAGAGGCTTGGAGAACTGGGGGGTGTTTCTAACATACGGGGTGCCTAGCGGAGACTCATCCTCCTGCGGGGGAAACACAGCTGTTAGGACATGGGGCTGGGGCCAAGGCACAGGTGCTGTTCCGAAGGCCCATGAGCCCAGGGGGCGCCCGGCACAGGGGTCTGGGCGTAGGGGCGGGTCTCACCTGCACCGGGACCGTGCAGCTCTCCTGCTCAGGGGTTCTGGGGAGGGGTCTGGCCAGGGCCACTCCTGCCTGAGCCAGGGACTTGGAGCTCTTCTTCTTGCGTTTCCTCCGGGCTTTGCTGCGACGCTTCCCCTTCCAACACACGCGGGCCATTTTGCCCTCGGTCGAGTGGGCCACATTGTTGGGGATTTGATCAAGACTCTCGGACTGGCTGTCAGCAAGGGGACACAGACACGCATTCTGAGTGTGAGGGGGCAGGGAGACAGAACGGCTCAGGTAGCTGCGGCTGGAGTCATACAGACCCAAGGTCAAATCCCAGCTTCGTCAGGACTTGTGTGAACGTGGGAAAGTTCCTAAGCCCCAAAGACCTTCAGGCTCCTCATTGATAAAATGGAGGTGGCGTTTCCTGCTGGGCAGGGCGAAGATGGGGTTTAAATGAAATAGCTCATTTAAAAAGCCTGCCTCGGTGTCGGGCCCCACGGCAAGCTTCCGATCAACAGTGGTTGTTACTAAAGTGAGGGTGCACACCGCTCTTCCGGGTGGAGGGGGAGACATGGTTCTCTCCCTGCTCTCCAAGGGGGGCTTGCCCTTGAGAGGTCCCGGAAGCGGGGCATGTGGCTCGGAGGGCCACAGCTCATGGCAGGCATTCTCGGCTCTGAGTTGGCTTCTGTTGCCTCCAAAGCAGGGACAGCTGAGGTTGGTCACTTTCCCGCTAGCAGTTCCCAAATTCCAACGATAAAGAAGTCCACCTGGTGGTAGGGGAGGAACTGTTTCCAGGTTCAACCTCCAGCTGCCAAAAATCTTCTTTGGGGCTGGGGAGTCTGGGAACAGGCCGAGCCTCACTTGGCCTCCTTTCTACAGGGCCACCGAGCTGCAAGTCTGTCCCTGCCTGTTTCCAAGCCCTCATCCCTCCTTGGGTGTGTCTCACAGAAGGAAAGACACAGCAGGTTTCTCCCCGAGTTAGAGCGGCTTCTCTGGGCCTGCACTCGTGGTCACGCACCAGCGGCAAAGTGCCTCCTGTTCCCAGCATCCTCCCTACTGATGGGAACCGAAAGGGAGCAGCAAGGACTCCGAGGAGGAGAATAAAAATAAAACGTCAAGCTGATGTGACCCTGATGTGACCCAGAGGCAGCCACCCCCACACTGGGAAAAGCTTTTGAAAAGCTGCAAGAGCAGCTCAGTGAGGAAGCCTGGGTGGGTTCCAAGAGCCGAACCACAGGTGCTGAAGGAAGGAGCCAGGGGTCACTTGCGAGCGGCCTGAGCAAGCAGCTGGGGTGGGGACGCCCCCGCGGCAGCTCCCTGCCACCCCACTCAAGCTGACCTTACCTGTACTGTTTCGAGCCAGCGATGAAGATCCGTTCTGAGAAGGTGGGGCTGAACTCTTGGCTATTCTCACCTTTTAAGTAAAGGCAAAGGGGTTGGATGAGCAGAAAGGAGAGAGAAAGAACAGGGGAGAGGCACTTAGGGGAGAGGCACTTTGCAGATACCCTCCCGGCCCCTCCTCCTTCCCAGACCCCTTCTGCCTGGCGGCTCACCTCCTCTCACTGGCAGCCTCACCCCTCCCTCCCAGCCTGAGGGTCAAGGCACAGGGCGTGCCTACAATATGGGATCACAGGGTGCGCACCTCACTTCACGTACTGTGAGGTGTGAGATGATCTATATAAAACACTCAACTCAGTGCCTGGCACACGGTAACAGCTCAACAAATATACACTATTACATATAACGCGTGTGCGCGCGCGCGTGTGCAGTACTACCATTACTATGTCACTCACTCCACTTTAATTTTTATTCTCTCATCTCTCGTCAAAGGCCAGCCAGAAGGAAGCGGAAGATGAGGGGAAGGATGTGTGTATGTGAGAAAATACCATTATGAGCTGTAGGTCTCGCCAGGCTCCACCCCAGGAAACCTCCTGGGGTGGAGGGTAGGTGTCGGGTAGAGAGGGGATTCCTGGCCCTCCCCACGCCCCTGGGAGTTTCTCAGGCTCCGGTGGCAGCCACTGCTCCAAGCCATCTTGAGGTATTGTGAGTAGAAGCAGAAAGGATCAGCCCAGGATGCCCCGCAGACCCTGCATCAGCCTTGCAGGCCCGAGGGCAGGCGTTCATTCTTTGCGGTGGGGGGGGGGGGGGGGGGGGGGGGGGCGGCAAGCACCTGCGTGGAAGGAGGTGAAGGGCCCAGGGCCCAGAGAGGCTTTCCGAGACACCTGGCCTTTCCTGCCTGGGCCTCTCCAGAGATGCTCAGGCTGCCCAAGTCCCAGCAGAAGGCCTGCCTGATGGCCCTGCAGAGAGGGCCCAGGACCTTGGAGCCCAAGCATTCCTGTCTCCCAGCTCCCTTCCCCTGCTCTGGTCATGAGCAAGGCCTCTGTCTGCCACTTCTCCCTTCTTGTGCTTCACTCCCCAGCACTGTTCGAGCTCCCACTTCACACTGATCCTTGGCTTAATTCCCAGGTGTGTCTTGCAAGTCTTCTATGGTGGTCACCTTGACTTCCCTCTTCCACAGGGGGACCGTAAGTCCAGCCCCATCGGTGCCCAACCACCCTTGCACAAGCGCTGCACCCACCTGCAGGCTCCCCACCTGCCCTCTCTGCCAACACTCCCAGCCCAGGGCTCCTTACATTCGGCCTGGGCGATGATGGAGATGGCAGCTGGCCCGCCCTCGGAGCCTTCCTTGGCTGTGCCTTTGGTAATCACGTCGTTCAGGATCTCCCACTTCCCGCAGAACATGGGGCTCTTCTCCACAGCCTCGAGCTTGTGGACGGAGCTCTGCTTCGTCTCCGTTGCCTGTGTCTTCTCCTTGGCTTTGGCGAACTCCTTCTGCTGCCCGACCGCGGAGCCGGGGGCACCTGGGCAGGCCATTTCCATCACTGCCATCTCCCAGGCTCACGCTCACCCTGTGAGAGACCACACACAGAGCAGGTCACCCCCAGACCCCGAGGCGCCCAGGTGTCAGGCTTGGGTGGGAGGAGAAAAGCAGGGGGCAAAGGGTCTCTACTTCCTCATGCCACACATAGCTATCCTCCAAATGTTCCAAATGGCAACCTCACCATTGTTCCACGTGGGGTGAGCCCCCCAGCCCTACTGGCCCCTCCACCATAAATGGCCCCTCTCTCCACCCCACAAGGGGAACTCCAGCCCGCCTCCTCCAGGAGAGACGTGGACCAACATCTGGGTTGGTTCTTTCTTGCCTTTATAAATAATGGCTGAATCTTTTTCTGTTGTTTGTTTTGTGGTGAACTTTGCTTCCCCAGAACAGGGTGGTGGATCCTATACTCCAAAACCATCAGTCACATCACTGATTCCGCAGAAGCCTTGCTTCGTAGAGGACATGCCTGCACCATCCATGATGGCTTTTCTCCAAGTGGAGAGAACCAAGGTTTTGTTTTGTTCCCTAGCTAGAGGTAGATACATGTATGTATATGTGTGTGTGCACATGTGTGTGTACATAGGCATCCAGATGTGTGTGTGTGTATATATATATATAGATAGATTTGTGTGTATATTTATATAAACATTACATACATACACATAAATGAAATCTTGTAAATCGAAAAACCAGCATGCAAATGGCAATACCAGCACTTGGCTCCTTTCACAAGATGCATCTGTTTGTGGCTCTCCAGAAGGAACTGACATGCTTCCTTCTGTAATGTCCAAACTCATTTGCTGAAAACCTCTCCTAAGTATCAGTTTTCTTTCAGGCAACATTAGTAGTGGAATTTATATTAGAGCCCTGGACACCAACCGACACCTCTAGAAATATGAGGACAAAGCGCAAGACGTCACCTCTCTCTGGGCTCCATCTCTACCAGCTCTGCGTTCCCATAAAGCCAGAAGGAAGAGAGAGCCCACTGTTGTGACAATCTGTGCAAGGAGCACGTGGGCTAGAGTTGTCATGAAAGAGAATGGCACCGCCCTGAGGTTGTTACCATTTGGAAGCCTTTTTAAAGACTGGGGCTGTGGACTCCCAAGGGCAGGGCCCTTCTGGGTCATGACTTGCTTGAGACAAAGCCTGAGAAGGCATCAACTGCAGACAGGCCTTTAATAAGTGCTCTCTGATGGCAGCCTGGTCCTAAGGCTGTTACTAACAGATGCGGTCTTCCCTGCGGTAGCTCCATTCATCCCGGATCACTCCTCCATCTGCTCTTGCACGAGAAAGGCAGACCGTGGGAAGCCGACCCTCCAACACCTCTGACCTTCTGCCGGATCAGGCTGGAAGCTTACAAGAGACAGTGGGATGCTGGGAAACACTAGGCTGAAACCTCCTTCCTACTGCATCTGCCTCACCACAGTGGCTACGAAAGGCTGAGTCAGCTTGACTGGGGTGTGGGTGTGGGGGGTGCCTTCAAGGGCCTTCTAGCTTTGAATTCAGCAGCTCCAGCTTTCAGCCTGGATGCCTGGGTGTGGTCCTGCAGGCCGGATGCTCAGGAGGCTGAATGGGTGGCCTCATTGTTTCTTGATGACCTTAAGAAGTCTAAGGGGTGTTCTGACTTCAATTAGGTGAAAGCCCTCCAAGGCAGGCTGTTTTACTTGTAACCATACTGTCATCCCACCCCACACCTCCACAGCCCCTTCCATCTCCAAAAAGGACTTGATCCAGGGCCTAGAGTAGGGCCCACCTCTCTCAGCCTCTTTATAAGGGAAATGAGATCTTAAAAACAGACCCCAAGACCTTCAAACCTAATAGTATTAGAAGCGTGCCTATAGGGACATTGCTTTAATCTCATTAAAAAAATTTTTTTTGTTTATTTGGCTGCACTGGGTCTTAGTTGCAGCATGCGGGCTCCTTATTTGTGGCATGCATGTGGGATCTAGTTCCCTGACCCTGCATTGAGAGCATGGAGACTTAACCGCTGGACCACCAGGGAAGTCCCTCTCCTCACTTTTACTTGAAGAGTCGCAGGCTTAATTAGGCGGAGACTTGCCCCAGATCACCCAGCCTGTGTGGGGCAGTGTGGGGCCAGACCTAGTGGGCTGTGCTACCCACTCCCCAGTCCCCTGGGCTGCAGGCAAACACAAGGAGGAAAGTCGTGGTCCTCCCTGGGCAGAAGGCTTCTGAGGGTCAGAGGTGGTGTTGCCGGTGTAGAGCAGAGTGGGGCATAGATGAAACAGCCGGTGCTGGCTGCATGACGGAATCAAGGGGTGATGCTGAGCATCGGGGATGAAGACAGAGTTTCATCTGACGGTGAGAGAAATGAGGCCAGCAGTCAATCTTACTCCGAGGGCAAGATCTTAAACCCAACATCTTAAACCCAGATGTTTAGAGGTCTATAGAGCTGCACTCAGGCTCAAGTGGCCTGTCCTGCCTGACACGGCTCATCCTGAGCTGGAGCTCCTCCAGACAGGCTGTGGGGCACCCCCTCCCCCAGAAGCTGCCCTTTCACCTTGGTGGCTAGGTAGGCTCCTGATCCTCCTTCCAGGAGCACTCCAGGCTCCCTTGTCCCAGAGAAGCCGAGGCTGAGGCAGCTGAGCTTGGGGCCTCCTCCTCTGTAGTTCCCTGATGACTCATCCGGCAGCCTAGCAGGCAGAGAGAGGAACAAGGCCGCCTGAGAAGCTAACCCAGCAGCTGGCAGCTGAATCTGTGAAGGGCACGGGGAAAACAGGCTGACCCTCACCTCCCAGGGGCACAAAATCTCGACCCGGGAGCTGTACAGCTTCTCCTGTGTCTGGCCTTCCTGTGCCACATGACCATGACTCAGACCCTCACCGACAGTCTCCAAGTTCAAGAGGCTATTTTCAGGACACTTTGGCCTGACAGCAGCTCTCCGACACATACACACGCTTGTTTCCTCACTCTTCCCCACTTCTACATGGGTTCTGATCTACAAAAAATGGGGTTCTGCACTAAGCCTGGGGCTGCTGATTGGGTGGCCTGCCCAGCTCTGGGCTTCGGTCCCTGGCTCGTTGCCCCAGCCCAGAGCCCCGCAGCTTTGCCCCTTCTCTCTCACTCCTGCAGCTTGTGGGAAGTGAGGACTAAGTGGGAGCCCGTTGTGTCTCTGCCTTTGAAGGCAAGTCAAAATCCTGATCCATTACTCAGCTGGACTCTCTCCACAGCTCCACTCAGGCCCCAGATGCATTCTTCCCTCTGCTCTCTGTATCGGAGCTGAGGACATGAGCAGTGACAATAGCCACACCCTCTCAGCTCACCCACAAGGCTATGAAAACATAAGGGGAAAGGAAAGGGGCAGAACTCATTCAGTATTCTTTCAGGGCCTGATCCACATACACTGCCTATTCTCTCTTCTGTGGTGCCTCCATGACCCCCTGGAGGGATCCGGGGGTAGGAATGAGCGGGATGGTACCAGATTAACCCTTGGGCATATCTGTGTGACACGCCTGCGTGTCACAAGGCTCCTGGGCTCAAGCTCAACTCCCTCACCAGCTAGTAAAGATCTTCAGTCCAAGTTGAGGTGTTCTTAATGTGGGTTCAAGGAGGTCTGGGAGCCCTAGAAACTATTTTTGTCTTTTTCCAGGGAAGAGGTCCATAGCTTTCATCACATCCTCCAAGGGTCTGACATTCCTCAGAAAGTTGCTCTAGTCTCCCCAGAAGATCAAGGCCAGGGCAAAATGCTTGCTCTGGCTCCACATTTTTATGCCGAGGTAAAGCTCACTAATGTAGTGCCTTCCTACCTGAGTGCAAGTTAGAATAACCACCTCAGATGCACTCGCCCCAGGTCTACTGAATCAGCCACTGGGCATTAGGCCCAGGATCTGTGCTTTTGACAAGTTCTCTGGATGATTCCCATGCCCAGAGGCCAGGGACTGCCATCTGACCTCTGCTGTATACTGTAAGACTGCACTGTCCAATATGGCAGCCACTAGCCACATGGCTACTTACGTTTAAATCAATTCATTTAAAATAAAATTTAAAAATCAGTTCCTCAGTTACACTAGCTACCGTATATGACAGTGCACACAGAGAACATTTCCATCACTGCAGAAAGTTCTATTAGACAGTTCTTGTCTGAGGCTATGATAGCAATGCTTTCTCTGACAGCAAAATTTCTGTTCCTAGGATTCTGGGAGAGGAATGGGGTTTAGACTAAATGAGTGCTTGATTAACTGGAAGGTATGAGAATAATGTTTAAAATTTTGATGACAACCTTTCTAAAATGTATCATATTTCAGTTCCCTGTTTTAGTAAGGTCAGTAAAAACACTAGATTAGGAACCACGAGATATGAGGTCAAGCCTTGGAAGCTTATTTTAAAAAGCAGCAGGACCATTTTTATTAAATGAAATCCACCTCAACCCCCACAATATAAAAGAGCAAGAAACGTGCAACTGCTACGTAATTCACATTAGAAACAGCTGCTCTGCTGAAGAAGGTGGGCAAGGGCCACACATACTCAGCTTCCCTTCATCCACCACAGACCTCCCCAGAATCCTAGGTCTCCAAGAAAAAGAGTCTTAAAACTAGTGGCCTAGGAAACCTTTTGAGGTTCCTTCTAGTTTCCCAAATGCCACTGATTTACTGATTTGTCAGGATTATTTGAGGGCTGGATGACTCCAATTCAGAATGATAATTGTCAATATTTACTAAGCACGGCCATTATTAATGTCAATTTCAGATGTGAAAACTGAGGCTTTAGAGAAGTTCAGTAGCCTGCCAGAACAGTCACACAGGGACAAGTTGCAGAAGTGGGGCTGAACGTGCACTGCTGCCTCCCCAGCCTTCATGCTAAACCTTGAGCAGGCCACTGAGTTTCTTCTCATAGCTTCTTCAGAGCTGTATTGAGGGCTGAAGGAGGTAGAGTACATGAAATGCCAATCACCTTGCCTGGCCAATAGAAGCTCATAAACGCCCTCATTGAGACAATGGGACTTCTTTGTTTCAGCATCATACAGCCAAGGTGTCAAGCCTTACCTAAGGCACTCAACACCTTCAGCCTTGATTCTCTGTATATCAAAGAGAAATATAGGGCCATCTTGAAAATGTCCACTGAGGGGCCAGGGCAGAACAGGGCAAATCCCTCTCATGATATTTCATCTGGAAATAAAAACTTGTCCTTCTCTGAATGCCCAGAGGGGACAAATAACAGAAGTAGAGGAACTCAACTTCCTTAATAAGATACTAGTTGAAAACCAATCTCATTCTGATGCTTCCTCTTTTAAGCCTTCAGCTTGCCTGGCTACTAGGCCACACTGGGCCAGCCTCTGCCTATCAAGAACAAGGGGTGTGCAGGAAGGGGAACCAAGGGCAAGTGCCGGGCAGAGTGACCTGGCCAGGCAAAACGGCTATCTGGCCAGGTGGACCCAGAGATCCCCATGTGTTCTCAGTCCCAGCTCCCTTTTCTGCCCTGCCTACCCTCCCCAAGCCCCTACCCTCAGCCTCTGTTCCAGCCACACTGCTCCTTTCACTTCCCTGAGCACGGCAGCAACGGGTGAGCCTGATTCTTTTCCTCTGCTCATCCTGTTCCCTGTAAAGAGTGTCTTCTTCCTTTATTACTATCTGTCCAGATCTCACCTATCCTTTATAACCTATCTCCTCAATGAAACCTTTTCCGGTAGGCTCCTGCATTCACTCAACAGGTATTAAATGACAGTCTCCTAAGTGCCAGGGACTGTCATAGTCACTACCATTCATTAAACATCTTCTGTGTGTTGGGCATGTGCTAGGGGCTTTATCCATGTTATTGATGAACCTCACAGCAACGCTGCAAGGTTGGTAATATTTTTACAGATGAAGAAACTAAGGCTCTGAGAGGTAAACTGCCTGCAGAAACTAATAAGGCCCAATTTATACAACTAGAGCATCTAACATGGGGTTAGGGCTAAAGGCAGGACACTCCTGGCCCTTTCCCCTGGGACCCAAGGATCCTTAGTTCCTTTCTAGGATAAAAGTTGTTGGCAAAGGTACCTGGAACTTCGGGAACCGAGCAATATTACTACCCATGTGCATATTACTACCCCTATTTTACCCGCAGGATCTGCCCACTGTTGGTAATAATTTCTTAGCCTGAGTAGGCAGGAAGGACAAGAACTAAAAATGAGGGGTCTCATCAGTAAGGGCTGGATCACCAATAAATTGGTCAGACTTCTAGTGGAGTTACTCCAGTACATGTTCCTGGGATGTTACCAGTTTTCACTTGATTAGTTTTAACAAGTCATTTCATTTTCTTAATGCAATTAAAAAAAAAAATCCACACAATACACAAACACAGCAACAAGAGTTCCGGGAAAGATGGTACTATCTTCAGGGAAAGAAGCACTGAAGGCTGTGCTTTGGCGAGCAGAAAAGTAAACCAGAGAAGAAATGGGATGCAAGAAACAATGGTAGGCATAGGAATCGATACGATATGTTGGTCAACTTAATTAACAATTGAATGTAAAAAAAATTAGTTTCACCCTGAGAAAACCATAATTCAAAAAGAGACATGTACAACAATGTTCACTGCAGCACTATTTACAATAGCCTAGACATGGAACCAACCGAAATGTCCATCGACAGAGGAATGCATAAAGAATATGTGGCACATATATACAATGGAATATTACTCAGCCATAAAAAGGAACGAAATTGAGTTATTTGTAGTGAGGTGGATGGACCCAGAGTCTGTCACACAGAGTGAAGTTAGTCAGAAAGAGAAAAACAAATACCATATGCTAACGCATATATATGGAGTCTAAAAAAAAAAGAAAAATGGTACTGATGAACCTAGTTGCAGGGCAGGAATAAAGATGTAGACATAGAGAATGGACCTGAGGACAGGGCGTGGGAGGGGGAAGCTGGGGCGAAGTGAGAATAGCATCAACATATATACACTGCCGAATGTAAAATAGTTAGCTAGTGGGAAGCAGCCGCACAGCACAGGGAGATAAGTTTGGTGCTTTGCAATGACCTAGAGGGGTGGGATAGGGAGGATGGGAGGGAGGCTCAAGAGGGAGGGGATATGGGGACATATGTATGCATGTGGCTGATCCACTTTGGTGTAAAACAGAAACTAACACAGTATTGTGAAGCAATTATACTCCAATAAAGATCTATTAAAAAAAAAGAATTTAATCTACCTAAGCACATATGGTCTACATTTAAAAAAATTACTTTATAATGTAAAAGAGAAACAGAACTAACTTGCTCATTTTACCACTAAAAACAAAAACTACATTTGATAGCCATGAACATTTCGCCAAACAGAAAATGTCCAAGAACAGATAGATGAAACAAACAAATCAATGGAAAGTATTTCTCAAACAGACTAAAATTATATGTGATTAAATGAGGAAACTTTTAGATTGAACAATATGAAGTCATCATTTTTATAAGTCAAAAATAGTAAACAATCCAGTAGTTTCATATTTTTCTATCAAATATATAGGATGGTTTCTACATTATACAAGCCTTTGGGAAAATAGCAAAAATAAAGAAATTTAAAAATCTCAAAAAAAAATTAGTTTAGGGCTTCCCTGGTGGCGCAGTGGTTGAGAGTCCGCCTGCCGATGCAGGGGACACGGGTTCGTGCCCCGGTCCGGGAAGATCCCACATGCCGCGGAGCAGCTGGGCCCGTGAGCCATGGC